TTGGTGAGGAGGAGCACCAAAAGGAGACTGCATTACTGCTCTTTCATCACCCTCAAATGGGCCAGTAAAACACCTCCACTCAGACTCTTTCCAGATTGTCCATCTCCCAGATGAAACCAAATAAACAGTCTCCACTGCTTTATCCACAAACCCACTTCTTTGTCTCCCAAAAGATAAACATGCATATATTCTTCCTGTTTTCTGCTCCTCTTAAGTCATTTTTTTCCCCTACCACAAAGCACACAGGCTGTGTGGTCGCTTCCTGAGCATAAAGAGCATGCTGACAGATGTGCAGACAGCAGCGTGAGGAGGATGCATGTAGAGGAGAGCCTTTTCTGGTCAGAAGGAGGATCTGGATCATAAACCACAGCACAGATAACCAATGCAAAGGAATGCTTTCATGCAACAGTTTGTCAGCTAAAAGTATATTATTGATGCCATGCTTAAATATGCAGCTTTCCATAGTTATGGTCACAGGTATGGACTTTAACTATCCTTTAAGCCCATAAGTGATATAGATCCTGCAAACAAAAAGTAAATCATGATGATGGAAAAGGACTAGAGAACAAAACTTCATTTTTTTGTTTTATAATTTTTTCATGACAATGAATGAATGAAAATAATTTGCAGAAAGAGGATTTGAAAGATGCAGATGAAGTCTATCGAAGCTTGGATGTGAACCATTCTTTTTAATCGATTAAATGACATCATCATTTGGCCGATTCATTATGGATTCAGTGGGAAGCTCATTTGTTGGCCTTTCCTGCATTTGTTTTTGTCTTTGATTTGATAATAAATGTTTCTTTCTTTTATTTAAATTGAGACTTGTTTAACTTTTTTCATCATTGTGTCATTGTATCATGTGAACGGAGAAGGAAAAAGCAATATCGGCTTCAAGAATTGGGCCAAAAATATCGGCAGGACGGGGGGGAATCCCACAGGATTTTTCTGTTGTTTTACTGCACTGACCATGGATCCTGTATTAGTTAGTAGCTTATTTCAAGAACACTACATGAATTTAATCTAAAGTAGAGAGACTTTACACATCTAAAACCAATGTGCAAATAAAGACTGAACAGGCCCCTCACAGAGTAATGCTGGGTATAAGATCTAAAACAAGGCCATAAACTTAAAGGTATAGTGGAGGATATTAATTTTCCAGGTGGATCATCTAAATAAGTGGTCCTCCTAATTTCAATCATTTTGATATGTTTACATAACGCAGTCCTCAGTTAGGTTTTTCTGCGCATGCAAACTTTTATGTGGCGAGCTACGGTTTCAGACATTCATTCAATTTACCTTTCACACCACAGTTCTTTGATAATGGCTGATATTGTAAGAGAAAAAGTGTCTACAAAGTGTTTGAGAAGAAGAGAAAGGCCTCAGAAGAGAGAAACAAGAAAATACTGTTTTTGGGAGATTCTTTCTCGCGATGGCGTACATTGAAAGCACAGGTTGGGCTTCCCACTGATGCAGCCGTTGCAAAGTTTCCAGAAATCCATTTCACATCACTGCTAGTAAAAGTTATCTACCTCTATATTGTAACTTTCCGGGGAAGATAAGTTTATTTTGTAATTTGCATCGTTAGTAAGGTTTATCCTGCAAACATGTCCAAATTTCCACTGCAGCACACACACATACAAACATGTCATGACTTTTTTTAATGTTCAAATAGTCTTATTTGCAGGGAAACTTTTATATAAATATTTGTGAGATGACATCCATCCGAGCAACTGTCTTATCATCGCGTCCCTGCACCTTCTTGAGGAGATATGAGCTCATGCATGCTCTCGAACATGTTTAATAAGGAGCGGGTATAGGGTTGTGCATGTGCATTTTTCTTTAAGTGGAGAGGGCGGGTCTCTTCAGAAATTCACGAAAATCCTCCACTATACCTTTAATTCCTTAGACTCCTGAGGAATTATTTACATCTTTATGACGGCTAGATTCCTCATTCAGATTAATTGCATTTTGAAAGCTGATTTCTCCAATCATCCCCCGATAGAACTGCAGTTCTTGGTGTTTTATTTTAGATTTTTTTAGGTTTGCTTCGGTAGCAAAGTCTGGTCATTTTTTGGTAGGGCTTAGTGGTTTTAATAATAAATATAAGCACCTCATAATGTCGGCTACCGGTTCCTAATGGTTTTATCATCATCAACTGATGTATTAATTTTACCGTAGATCATCTTTCAATGTCAATCTTGAGAAATATCAATACATCAATTAAGCGATGAAAGATTTTTTATGCAAACTACATTTTAAGATTATGACCGATTGGTTTAATGCTTTATTATAGATCAATATATTCTAATGAAACTTCAAGCACAAATCTGTAAAGTTAAATAAAATAATAATGAAGTTAAGTCAAAATCCATCCACCAAAGAAAAAAAAAAAAAAGCGGACCACAGATCGCAGTTTTTCTTGATCTCTTTAAACGCTGACACACTCAAGTCCAAAACATCCCCAGTGATGTTCCAGCGCCTGATACAAATGGCAGCTAAAGGTCAACCTTGAGGAGTGATTTTGATAAGCAGCTTCTGTTTTCACTCATGTGCAGGTCAGGCCTTCAAACAGGCCCACATATGTAAAGAAAGTGGACCTGGTGCGAGTTATTTTAAGTGAATGGCAGATAAGTGTTAAGCTGAGGATGGCATGGCTTTCATCTTCATCACGCACATCAAGAGCTCTCTGAAGTCGTCCCGGTAGACAAGCGGGATTAACACCACATGGATGCCTGCTTTTCTTCTGCCTCTGTTGAAATCTATGATTTCTAAGAAATCTTTTCTCAGAATATCACTATAAAGCTTTCTTGAATCAAATGGAATTAGATCAACTCACTGTCCACTCCTAGCCTTATTGTTGAGGTTTCTTGAATCTGATCCAACTGTTTGTCACGTTTGCAGCTGCTTTGGATAAACTACATGGAAGAAATAAAGAAACGTCCTCGTCTTCACAGTTCGATGAAATGTAATGAACTCAATTCTCTGTGTTTACGCCGCAGACCGTGCCATTTATCCTGCTTCATATGCCGCCACTCAACCATTCAAGATGATTCTTCCTCTGTATGAAAACAGTTTCTTTGTTATACCTGCAAAACATAAATATAACTTTATTCCTGAGCAATCAGGTTTATAATCCCTGCTGAACATGTCAATAATAAACAGGAACAATATTTATTCACCATCTTACCCAAGCTCCTTCACATTAGCTATTAACCATACAGCAATAATCAAACTGTTACTATATTAGAACTAAAAAAAAAAAAAAAAAAAAATATATATATATATATATATATATATATATAATTATGATTGATCAGATCAGAGCAAAAGCTGAGTTAGGGGACGTCAGTTTAGCCGAAACTAAAAGGTTTTATTAACTATATTTACTGAAAAGCTAACATTTTCATAGTGGCCAACTCAGTTTACTCAGCCTTTCGGTGTCTTTGCATTCCTTTAACCCTGGGAACCTCAGGGCATTGCTTTCATTAAGTGTCAAATTTCACAAATAGTCCATTAATCTGTCCGAATGCAGGAATAAAAGAAATGATAGCACCAGTTTGCAGTTAGACGAGTAATCATGACCAAATTAATTGCGTGGTGCTCAAATGAGCTCCCCTGTTAATCATATAAAGGGATCATGCTGACCATGCTCCCAGGTAATGCAATTACTCTACAAGCTCACAGATCAGGATGCCCACCAACTGAGGCGCAGAAGCAAGGAAAATTACAAATTAAGCGTAGACCTCATCTTAATTTTTCGCTTTAAGACACACTTTGGGCCCACAAACCGATACCCATGCACATACTAATGCATTAGTGCAGAAAAAGAGGGGCTAAAAACCCTTTTTTTTTAACCTAGGACATATGAATGTCCACAAGTGGAAATTTACAAAAGTATGAAGTCAGCATGCACCCTTTACTAGAGACCATCCGGTCTCTATACAAGCAGAGCAGGAATCTGGTCTGCATTGCTGACGCTAAGTCGGATCTGTTCCTAGTGCATGCTGCCCTCTGTCACCGGTCCGGTTTATATCCTTTATAGACAGGATTTCTAGGCGCAGCCTAGAGCTCCTGGCTTTTTGCAAATGATGTGATTCTTCTGGCTCCATTCTGCCAAGACCTACAGCATGCAGTTTGCAGAGTGGCCTCTATGAAGATGAGCTTCTCCACGTCTAAGGCCATAGTTCTCACCCAGGAAAGGGTGGCTTGTACCCTTTGGGTTCCTGCCTCAAGTGGAGGAGCTCAAGTATGTTGGGGTCCTGTTCAGGAGTGAGGGGAGAAGGAGGCAGGAGATTGATAGATGGATCAGTGCGGCTCCTGCTATAATGCAGACGGCAGTTTGTGGTGGTGGAAAGAGAGCTGAGAGAAAAGGAACGTCCTATGTGCTCGTCCCCATTTTCACTTACCTGTAGTGAGTTGGACATAGTGGAAAAATTGCAAATGTTCTTTTGGAAAGTTAGCTTGTATCAGCAAACAGCAACTTTTAAACAGCCTGCACAAGGAGAAATGGGCTCGTGCACGCTCACTGTACCCACTCCCTCTTGGGAGTGGGTACAGGGTTGTGCATGAGCAATTTTTTTTTAAAAGATGGTCTTGTCAAAAATTCGCAAAAATCCACCACTATACCTTTAAAAATACAAGAAGGATAACTGATAATAACTAACTAAATATCAAACCCAAAAAAGATGCAGACATATTGCTGGAATTCAATTAGATCAGAGAATAATTGTGTTTTTTCTTGTGATAATAAAGAGCTCATCTCCATTTCTCAAAGGAGACATCAGAGACTTTAATTACCTCCACCTGCAAACACACAAAGAGTCCCACCCACCAATTTGACCGCAGACCACACCCCAGTTCTCACAGTAACCTGGTTAAGAAACACCCCACCACATAACTTCCTCCCATGGGAACACACCAAAGTCCCCCAGTGATAAACAAAGTGATGCAAGCGCAGGAGGCCGCCAGGAAGAAGAAGAGGAGGAGGGTTTACTCACATCGAGAGAGTCCTCGTTGACAATGATGAGGGACATGCCGTGTGTCACCAGGCGACAGGAGTAACCTGAGAGACAATACAGCAGAGGGGAGAGAGTGGAGGATGGGAGAGGGATTGGGTTTACTAAGATACAAAACAGAGCGCCACTCATATCAACTCAACCTCTGATCAAACAATGTGAAGGTAAAGAGAAGGTACACCCTCCTGAATTCGAAGAGGATTTGAAACTTTATGTCCAGATGCAGAAAAATCAGTAGCGACTTAAATTGAGGATAAGTTCAATTATCTGTTGCTCCTGATCAGATGGTTGGAAATTCATGAATCAAACCTTTTCTGAACAGAAAACAACTAGTTCAGAGTAAAAAAAAAAAACATGAAATAAAACCTGCAGGCAGAGAAAACTACCGTTGTGTGCTGGTACATATTTTTTTCAAATTCAGAATTATGTTCACCCCACTGTACAATACAATCTTTGAGTCTAGATTAAGTTAAACCACCCGAAGGGATGCAAAAAGGAATAAAAATGATTTGCACGGCAGTCATACTCTATACCAAAGTCACAGAAATACCCTTTGCAGAGAAGCAGTATATATTTGCATGTAATCCATTTTAAGCACGATATTTTAAAGTGACATTAATGATCCTACTCACACTGAACACTTGTTTTTTAGTCGAATAAATAAATAAATAAATAAATAAATAAATACTCCCCATATTAAAAATGCATCACAGGATCAAAATTCTGTAGTTTTTGGAGTTTTTAAGCCCCCTAAAACTTCTTAGAATATTACCAACCAGTTTAAAACAATATTGATTCAGGTTTTCTTTAAAGGGGACTTTAGGTTCTTTTCCAGGTCACTACTAATTGGCCATTTTTAGACAAACGTTTGTTCTTTTTTTCTGAACAGAATCTGACCACAAAACAAGCAAAACATTCCAAGATCTGAGGCATGATCAATTGTTTGTTTTCTGTCCTGTACTTGTTAATTTTTCAGCAAGCTCCCTTAAATTAAATGTCAGAAACAAAGAGTGAACAAGCAGGAAATCTGCAAAAGAGTCTAAAACATCTAAAAAATGTATATGGAAAAAAAAATGGTGAGTATAATTTTTATTTTATTTAAACACAACACTCTATAATTGCATCAGTGCTTTTATTTGGTCATTTTCCTCTCACCTATATTAATGGCGGTCTCTTGCTTGTCTCCAGTAAGTACCCAGATCTTGATGCCGGCCCTCATCAACGTGGCGATTGTGTCTGGGACGCCGGCCTGCAGACGGTCCTCTATGGCTGTGGCTCCAAGCAGCATTAAGTTCTATTGGCAAACACAAAGAGCCAGAGGTAATTCTAGGAAAACAAATCTATAATGGCATAAAAGAGTTAATAAGGTTAAAATAAATCATATTTAGACTTTGATTTCAGCTTCCTGTATATGTGAACGATTGTGACATCACATAAGTTTAATTTGAGGACAAGGATACCAGACAGTTTACATTTAAGTTGAGAAAACATCGAGCCAAGGAGTCAGTCATTATCCGTTCCCATGCGTGCTTTAATTTGTTCAATGCCTAAATGGTTGTGTGTCCTCATTAGACACCCCCACAGACACACAACTTAACACGACCCTGTTGTTGACTCGGGTTTTATGAGGCTTTTGGCACGCCAGTGCAGGTAATTGCCCTTGTGGTCAGAAGTTTCCTCCTCCTCCTGCTTCCTCTTTTTTCTCTCTCTCTCTCCTCACATACTTTTCTCACCTCAGCTCTCGCTGACAAATCAGTTGGCTTTCACACCCATTAGTTCAGCTCTCTCCTGAATCTTCCGTTTGGTTTTTAACCAGATGAGGGATCAGATGAGACAAACTTGAATTACAATGCTACACTGTACAAGAATAATCCGCATATGGTCAAAAAGAAACATCAAAAACAAATCAGTGTAAAGCATTGACGGTATAAAGAATCAGTGGATCCTCTCTGCCATCTGCTGGTAAAAAAGCTCAATGGTTTGTAAAGGATTCTGTCTCATATTTATCTGCAATCCAAAACTTTTGTTCAGATTTTCTTCATATTGTTTTTTTATTCTAAAAAATCATAAAATTCAAAATTAAGTGTTTTGCAGATGTAAACACAACTCTTCATCACTAGAGCATTTTTTTAACATTATAACGCCTCCCTTTAAAATATTTTAGAACAATTTTCTAATCGTTATGCCTACAAAACAACCTCATAACAAACATAACCACCTCACTCCCCCATGACAATCCAAAAACCTGGGTGTTCATGACAATAATAAACTGGACAGGAATCCTGTACAAGAACGCGAAGAGCCGCCTCCACCTCCTGAGGAAGCTGAGGTCCTTTGGAATGAGCAGACCCCTGCTTAAAACCTTCTATGACTCTGTGGTGGCTTCAGCCCTCCTTTATGCTGTGGTCTGCTGGGCCCCTGGCAGCGCAGAGCGGGACAGAAAGAAACTGAATAAGCTGGTGAAAAAGGCCATTTCTGTCCTGGGCTGCCCTCTGGATTCGTTGGAGGAAGTAGCTGAGAGGAGGGTGCTGTCCAAGTTTACATCCATCATGGACAACACATTTCACCCCCTGCACCAGACTGTAGAGGAGCTGAGCAGCTCCTTTAGTGAAAGACTCTTATATTCCGTTTGTAAAAAGAAGCACTACCGCAGGTCATTCATCCCTGCTGCCACCAGATTATACAATGCGGCTCCATAACTGCAATAACTTGGTCAACTAATGTAAAATCACTATTTAATACCCTGGGCAATAACATTTGAAACAAGAGACTTCAGCTGTTATAGTAATCTCACTACCTCACTGTTGTTCCTTACCTGGGACCAATTTAAAGTACAACTTCAAATCCATATGTGTATAAGTTGCCTTATTGCTTTTTTTTTTCTCGATCCACTGTATATATGTGGACATACTATGCACCCTTTCCTCCTTTTGACTATTGAGCCGACGTGACAAGGGAATTTCTCCACTGTGTGGTAAAATAAAGGCTATCTCATCTTATTTTAAAACATATAGACAAATAAACGTGGAAAAAGTTGCCCTAGTCAAAAAAGAACCAAATTGGGGTTTTTATTGTTTTTGCTTCTCTTTTTTATCTACTTGTAAAACAGAAGACCAACTATAAAATCATTCCGGACACATGATCTCTTCAGGAACACACGGTGATGGCAGCATCATGCTATGGGCATTCTTCTCTTCAGCATGTAGAGCTAAAGTTGTTAGCGCTAATGTTTACATTAATGGAGCTAAACACAGGATGACCCTGGGACAATTTTTTTCATTGTCATAGCATGCATAATGCCTTTCTTTGTGAATCTAAAATTTAAGTTTTCTGCTGTAATGTGACAAAATGGGGAAAAGTTTAATGGCAAAAAATCCTTTTAAATGGCGTCATTAGTGGGAACATATACTCATACAGAAAAAAAACAAATCAGTGTAAACAAATCAAAAAAATCCCTAAAAAGTTATGACAAAATTTATTCAATTAATCAAAAAAAAAAAAAAAAAAAAAACTTTACAAAGCAATTTTATGAAGTCTTGCAGAAGCTCAGCTTTAAGCAATTCGACTTGAAGATCATCAACGCTCATTAGCCACAGATGAAAATGTGTTAATACCTTTTCCAGTAGTTCATAGCATTCCTCCAGTTTCTGAGCGCGGTCTTTGAGTTCGGTGCTGACGCGGTTGTATTCTTTCAACCACTCCTGATATACGCCTTCTTCCAGGTCCACGTATGCAAAACAGAGCGTCCTTAGACCTGAGGGTGAAAGATAGGGAAGGGTTTATCATGCAGTAAACCTATAAGGCAATTACAGGTCTTCTCTGATACAACAGCATCGGAAAGAACAAAAACACAGGAAAAACTGTTTTTTAATGCAACTTCATGAGATTGAGGGGAAGCTTTAAACTGTCAACATTTTATTAACTCTTTATAATAGCTTTATTCCTGATCTGACCATCCATCCATCCATCCTTCCAACAAGTTTATCTGATGCTGGGTTGCTAGGGTAGCAGCTTCAGTAGGGAGGCCCAGACATCCCTCCCCCCAGCGCTTCTGGGGGAATTCCAAGGCGTTCCCAGGTCAGCCGAGAAACATAGTCCCTCCAGCGTGTCCTGGGTCTCCTCCTGGTGGGACGTGCCTGGAACACCTCACCAGGGAGGCGTCCAGCAGGCATCCTAACCAGATGCCTGAGCCACCTCACTCTCGACATTGAGGAGCAGTGGCTCTACTCTGAGTCCTCCCCAGATGACTGAGCTCCTCAACCTATCTCTAAGGGAGAGTCCAGAAACACTGCAGAGAAAACTCATTTCCGCTGCTTGTATTCTTAGATGAGGGTAGGAAAGTAGATCAACTGGTAAATGGAGAGCTTTTCCTTTTGGCTCAACCCTCTATTCACCACAACCTTCATTCTAAATCTTGTGTAACAAGAATATTTTTTTAAATGTTTCTTTAAAAGACAAAGAAGGAAAGTCAATTATTTACTTCAATTAGAGATGAAGCAAAAGATTCCTGGACATTACTGTATCATCTGCATATATTTGATCATTCCAATTTGGGTAGAATATCTGGTAAATCGTGATCAGTGCAAAATGTGCAAAATAAAAAGATAGAATTTCTTCATGTGTTTCTTTCCATGGTAGTGGGTGTGTGTTGCTGCGGTGATAAAATATTGGAATATTAATCATCATGACCCCACAATTATCAAATAGTACTTTAGCCAGAAATGCACATCCCTAAATGCACTACAGTTACAAGTTCCTCTAGTGTCTTTAATTTCATGATTGTGTCATCTCCAAGAGCACACACAGCAGCTAGTGATGATTTATATCTGTGTTAATCTGTTTATGTCAAGCACGACTCCTTTACTCACATAACAAGGTCTACAGTCAATTCATTCAACATCAAACATTGGCAAATACGGCGAGCCCAGTTTAGGAGTTGGATTGGACCGTGAAAAAAAGAGATCGGTCCATCTCTAGTTCCAATTAGCATACAAATAAAGAACCGGAGGAGAAACTTGGCTAAGCTTTGACAAGTTATATCAAGAACTTATCTCCAACTAGGCTTGTCCCGATCCGATCCACGTATCAGATCGGACGCCGATATTGGCAAAAAAAATGCATATCGGCAAAGCATGTAAAAATGCCGATCCAGACTGCCGATCCAGTTTAAAAAAAAAATACGGTCCGTATTTTCCAGTTTCGCCGATTGAAACAATCCATTCCACTATTTTGCGCCAGTGTTCCCCGAATCCGTCCGTATTTTCCAGAACACCTTCAACACACCCACAGGTCTTTTTGGGTCTGTCTCCCGGCCTAACCATTAAAACAGGTGAATTGGAAGATATCGGGGAAAATGTCAGCCGTGTGGGATTATTTTATCCTGCACGATGTGTAGATGGAGACTAGGTGTGGAGGAGATTGGGGAGTATAAGGCATTTTTGTGTAACTATTATTTGCACTGATTTTTTTAAGCAGTGTCTTTTTTCAAGAGTAGAGTCCTGATTCTAAGTTAATAGACTATTTTCCACTCTTGTCTGTTTTGCATTTTTATTAAAACTTACAGTAATATAGCACCTTTAACTGTTTACGGTTTTACTGTTCACTGTGCAATATTAGATTGCTATTCATAATTTTGTCCAGTTTGTGTTTATCTCTTAATAAACAGGTAAGTTTGTTGTTACCAATCATTGTGTTTTATTCAATCTCACCTAATTCAGCTGGCTAGATGTTATCAAGAGTACTAAAACCCTTTTCAACATGAGTCTTACAACTAAGGCTAAATACTTTAACTTAAACTTAAATACATGCTTGGATAGGCTGGTATCGGCCAGTATCGGTATCGGATCGGAAGTCCAAAAACAATATCGGTATCGGATCGGAAGTGCAAAAACCTGGATCGGGACATCTCTATCTCAAACGCATTTTTTCCCTCCAATTCTCCAATTTTATTTTGCCGGGCTCTAAAAGGCAGCTAGGTTAATACCGCGATCAAAGACATCTTTTTATGCAGGCCGAGCCCCTCCGGGCGCATTGCTGCCCCCCCTCAGGACACTGGCTTGTGACATTAAATGGGCATTACTCTTCCGAGCAGTATGCATAAATATGGCTGTCGTTTGACATAAGTTCTGGACTCATTATGAATACTCTATGTATACGTCCATTATTGAAAAATACATAGAATGTTAAGCATATGGCAGCATTTTAGAAGATGCTTGGATGTCAGACATATGCTGGCTAAATCGTCAAAAAATATATAATTTAGAGACGATAAAGAACATTTATGCATATAAGAATAATACCAATTAGTCAAGTTCTCCAAAGTCCTGCTAATGACCTGATTATGTGACTCTGGTGTGTTGAAGCAGAAACAGATCTAAAGGGTGCAGGACAGCTGACATTAAGAACTAGAATGGAGCAACCCCCACATAATGAGTGTTTTTAAAAAGCTCAACTTGACAAAGCCATGGCTCCCACATAAAATAAATAGGTAATGTATTAAGGCCTCTGTAATGCGGTGCTTGGTTAACACCATCCATCGGATTCCTGCCAACATTGAACATTTCTGAGTTGCTCAGTTTTTTTTATGATACTAAAGTTGTTGTTTTTTTTTCTCCATTGTGTGTCAATATAAACAAAGTAGATGCTTTTGAATAAATCTCCCACTTTTTTTGCATCTACATCAATTACAACCAGAGGAATCACTGATACCTTCAGTTGCAAACTGCTCCAAATGAGCGATGGTGAGATCTTTGTACTGAGACGCTTCCGTTAGCCGTTCGAAGATGACATTATCCTGAAAAAAAGAAGAAAATTGACCTTAAATTCAAGATTACTGATACATTTCAGCATGATAGCAACAACTGGATGAACATACCGCTCCTTTGCAGTAAAGCCGCAGCTTCCCAGTGGGCGTTCTCACCACCACAGACATGCGCTTGCGATTACTGTAGAATAAGCGAACATGGTTTCAATGGAATGTCCATTATAGGCACATTTATTTGTTTACTGGGATGTTTTAGGGAAGGATTACCTGGAGAACTCCAGAACGTTCAGCAGCTCAAAGGTCATCTCATTTCCTCTCTGAAACACAGACATTTTTTTTTTAGCTTCTACTCCTCCCCCTTTCAAAAGATATCAAAGTTTCACATATATTTGATTAAACTTTCCACACTTGGGATGATTTAGAGAAATTTAAAAGCTGAATAAACTCACATTAGACAATGGTAGCGTACAATTGTTAAATATAATTTGAACCTTGGTAACAAATGAATATCTGCAGAGTGTGAAGCTACTTTTCATTCACTTTCTCAGTTCATACTTTCAAATATATCCTCTCCAGTTTTTAACATTTACAAACTGACTATTTTTCCAATTTTCCTTTGCAACAGTCAGACTGGAAGTAGAGCATCCGGAAACGTCACCATTAACTTCTTTCTGCAGACTTTGTATTATATTTAGGCAGTGATGGGCAGTAGCGCCGCAACATGTAGCGAAGCTATTAGTTTAACTACATTTTCCAGTAGCTTGACCGTAGCGTCGCTGCTTTATTTATCAAGTAACTTTCCTGTAGCGACGTTATTGTTTTGATCAAGTAGCGACGTAGCGTCCACAAACGCTACAAAATCCAGGGCATAACTAAGAAATGAAACCAGGTTTTCTATTTTGAAACAACAATCAGCCACAAAACTACTGTAAATAGCAGTTTCAGCTGATGCTCTTATAAGTGGCGTAGTAGCACAGGCACACTCCGTAGGGTTAAACAAGCGCACCCTTTCCCAGGCTGTCGTTCTATTGGCTGGAATAGTTGCTAGGCGACGATCCAACTGCAGTCCGAGAGAGCAAAAAAAATCCGCAAGCAGAGCCTACGGGTTTGCGAGCGTATCTGAGACTCGAACAGAGCGCGGTTTGTGCGCGGAGAGAAGGAGGCAAGCGAGAGGAGAATATCTGTGCAAGAAGCATTAAATCTGAGAGAAGAAACAAAGATTTGAGAGAGAAGAGAAAAGAATTGAGAGAGAGCGCATGTTTGGAGTGTGAGCACTATAAGTTTAGTTTACCTGACAGGTTGTTTACATAAATCTGTTTTTAGGCTTTGCACAGATAAGATATTTTATTTATGGAGGAACAGCTCTACCGTATATATAAAATAAATACATAAAAAAATAAATGTTCAATAAATAAATAAATAAGCATTCAATTAATTGCCCCCAAAAATACAATGAATAAATATGTAGGTAGAAATTAAAGTATATGGTGAGACATAAATATATGTATCACTTAATTACCTTCTTTAATTTTTCACCTTTTTTGTAAACAGTTTCATTTGTTACTTGAATCGACTGTTTAATTGAGGTCTGAAGAAGTTTTCTCTAAGGGAGACCCTAAAGAAATAAGATGCCTTTTGTAGGGTTTTGTTTTCCCTAGAGATGTCCATTGAATGCAAACTCATAGCCATGTCTCCATGTGTAAAACACTACACAGTACCTTTCATTTGGTTCTAATAACAGCAGATTGTTTACTAGTTTGTCTATTAGTAATTACTAGGGTTGTCAAAAGTATCGAGACTCAAAAAAGTATCGATACCAAAATGTTGTATCCGGATACAATACTCGTTTTTAAAAGTATTGATACAGTGCTACAGTGCTTTGTTTCTTAACCAGTTTGGCTAGTGTCATTGTTATGTGTGCAAAGCATAGCCAAGGAAGGAACACTTAATTTTAATTTTATAAGTTTTCTTATCAAGCTTGCTTAATATTGTGCACAGCAAACAACCTCAAAATATTGTTCTTATTGTTTATTGTATTTATTTATTGTATTTTATTTATTAATGAAAATATTTCTGTAGAATTTTGGAGTCTTTGTTTTTATCCTTGTGGTATCGAAAATGGTATCGAGTATCGAGTATTGGTATCGAGTTGAAAAGTTTAGTATTATGACAACCCTAGTAATTACTTCACTTTTTATTTTAATATGCTGATCATAAAGCAATTTTTACACTGTGTTATGTCATTGGCTGATCTTTAATAAATATTTTAACCATTGTATCAGACTCATTTTGAATTGATATTAGGTTGGTACAACGTTAAGTAGCTTCTGATGTAGTTAAGCTACTTTTAACACATTAGTGTAACTTAGCTTGCTATAATTCTTTAGGTGGTAGCTTTTGTGTAGTGAAGCTTAATTTATTGTTGAGTAACTGATAGCTTAGCTCACTACACTGGACAAGTAGCTTGCCCAACACTGTATTTAGGTCTGGAATTTGACTAGGCAATTCAAACAGTTGAATATGTTGGTTTCATAGTGTTCTGTTGAGTGTTGGGGATCTTTCAACTGCTTTTCTGCATCGATCTTCCTGCATTTTCCAAATTAATATATAATTATACTATATTATATAAAAGTATTGTTTAAATATTAATTTAAGCTATATAAATATTATTCTATAGATATAAAAATAAATAAAGGGATATGCGTAATGGAGAAAAACAATCCCAAAGAATGATATTGCTATTACTATTAGAGGGAGGAAAAACTAACAATTTAACAGAAACTCGCCATGTGGAGTTAAGGTGTAAAATTTTGAAACGTTTTCAAATAATAGAAATTTATAAAAGAAAATTTGGGGTAATCCAAACAAATAACATCATACCTAAAGTCCCTGCAGTTAGCAGGTTTTGATGTGCATGTGATCGAGGAATAGTGTTGATTTAGGCCTGGGCAAAAAATCCATTCAATGAATTAATTACAATTTTTGTAGTAGGTGATTTAAAGAAAATTAAATCGACTTCTTTTTTTTTTTTTTTTTTATAAGTGCAAATTTTTCCTCCCCTTTTTACTCTGACTGCTATGATGACGTGACTTTTGGCGCTTATCAAAACGCATTACTACCCAAATACAAGTTTAGTAGGAGGATGGAGGATGGGAGCCGGGGGGGTCAGTTATATCGATGAGCTGCAGCCCAGATAGCAGAAACGGCAACGAATAGAGGCTTGTAAACATTAGGGTTTATTTATGCGGTTGTATTAGAAGAAATGGGGTTGTGTATTGAAATGCATATTTTAAAACGGTCAGAAAAGGTTCTCGGTCCAGCTAGCAGTCAAAATAAGCATGGCTGCCAATAAAAGCGGCACAGTAGTTATGCTTTCCTTAATAATTAAGGGGGGGCGGAATCGGAAAACAAAAATCGGAACTCGAATTAAAAAAAAACATTAAAAAATTGCAGATTATATTTTTCGGCCATATCTCCCAGCCCTACGTTGATTAAAGGGAAGATTATACTTCTGCAACCGCACATATCAAATGTTGCTTGGGTCTGGTCGCAAAACCAGTTTTGCTGATATGCTTCTGGACCGTCGGTCTGGAATTTCTAGGGACCTCGCGGGAACTTTAACGGATCGCACCGAATCGAGAAGGACGACCACACAGATAGCTGGAAAGGCATACCAAGGACCAATCACAGCTGCTTTCTGTCTGCGCACTTCCACTTGAGGTCTGCGCACGTTTGCGACCGACCGCCGCGTAGTCAGGATTTTTTTCAGGTGCACGACAACAGTTGCAGAACCTCTGCGTGGGGGGCGTGGTCGAGCACAGAGACAGATTTGACTGTTGCAGAGGCTATGCGTCAGAAGCATAAATTGGCCTTTATTTTTTCTGAGTGTCTTTAAGTTACATCTGTTTTAGTAAAGACTGAGCGAATATATATTACCAACTAGAGTGAAAATCCCTTTTAATTTGGGAAAGTTTTCAGATAAAAAAAAAAAAAAAAAAAAGCAAAATGGTTTGTAATTCTTCAAAGGATGTTGTGTTCAGGTTCAGGTATGTAGCTTACTAAAAATTTCAAAATTGAAACCAAAATCGTGGCTGAGATTATTAACCAGCTTACAGCATCGATGATGACGGAATGAGGGGTCCTGGCTGTGAAGACGAAGCCCAGTCCTTTGGCAGCTTTGACCAGAGCTCCTTCGTCCGGAGAGGAGGCCTGGTAAATGATCTGGTTGTCCTCTCTCTCTGGTACAACAGTGTGGCACACTGCCATCATGGTCAGGAACTCGCAGATCTGAGGTGATGTCGGCTGGAAAAGCGTAAAATAAAAAAAAAAATAAAGCCTTCCACTGAAACCGTTTAGTTTAGAGCTTATTTATCCAGAGAAAATCTTACATGATTCTTTTCGATGTTTTGAATGAGACTCGGGTCATCAAACTCTGCAGAGCTATTGCTGCTGGACGGCAAGTTGCTGAGAGAGAACAAAATAACATATTTTAGACAGAAATAAAATAATTTACACATTACAAAGCTTCATTTAATGCTCCATTTAAAGCATACGCATACAGTTAATGATTTGCTAGACAAAACAAACAAAAAAAAAAGGCAGAAAGCTCAGAAGCGACGCACCTGAAGTCCTCCATTGAGCGATCACAGTCAAGATCGGGGAAGTGGCTGCAGTTATGAATGAGGTTGCATTGAAAAAGGAAAACATGCAATTAGTTGATTAATGCAGAAACAGCTCAGCCTTAATTAGGTTAGTCTGTTACATAATGCAGAGCAGTGAAACAGCAGAAGTTTGTTTATCAGCATTCTGAGCTCATATTCTCTTATCGGGATCCTCGTTTTACAGGTAAACTCCGGATGCAAAAGAGGTGTTTAAATAAAGGATGACTGACCCGTACGTGATTCCTGCAATGGTGCACTTCTTAAAATGCATGACATTACAGGTGAGAGTTCCTGTTTTGTCAGAAAAGAGGTATTTCACCTGGAAAAAGACAGAGACAGCGTAACTTATTGTGCCACCTGTAGTTTAGAGGGGTTTTATAGAGGGGGGGGTGAGGAGCTGACCTGACCCAGTTCTTCATTCAGATTGGATGTTCGGGCCATGGCCGGCGTGTCCGTCTCTGAGTAGTACATCTCAACATCCTGAGGGGAAGATACAACAATTCCCTATCAGGTATACTTAATTTAAATAGGGGCCTTGCAAAAAAGCAACTCTTGAGATTTTTATTTATAATTAACAAAATTTAAAACATCAATAATTTTACTTCTACTTCACAACTATGCAGTAATGACTGAAGCATTTTATGGCATCAAATCCCAATAAAAGTATTACATGATTATAACTAGGCCTGAGCAAAAAACAATCGATTCAATTAATTAATTAAAATGTTTTTGTTGCGGGTGATTGAAATAAAAAATATATATATATATTATTTTGTCTAACGCTGCAGTATTATGCCCACTGTGCAGTTCGGCAAGTGACATCATGGCTTGCGGTGAGAGCGGGAAGTTAGTCCTTAAAAAAAAAAGGATAAAACCATCTGTTGTTTTTTAACTGGTTTGGGTTTGCTGTGACAGACGTTGCACCTACAGCTTGAAGGTGATTATGACAAATATACCAAAAATTTACCGGAAATATTTGTGGAAGCTAGGGTAGTTAGGAAGACGGTAAGCATTAGCAATAAGGATGGGACTTTTTTGATTGTAAAAAAAATGAATTAATATGGCAACTTTCTCTTCATAGAACATTTTCATTACGAATATGCTAGATCACTTTTTATCTGTGGACCCTTATGGACAAAAGGAATATAAACAATCTGAGATTGGATTTATAATATGGCCTCAGGATTGCTTCAAAGGCAGAAAATCTGAGCTTTATTTTAAAAAATCTGATTTAATACGCTGCTATATCTTTATTAATTGTGCTTTGGTGCTCATAGTGTCCATTAAATTAACTCGAATTTAGGAGGATCTAAGCTCTCTAAGGATGTATAACATGTCTATATTTGTAAAAGTTTAAGTGGGGTTATTTTCAAGTGAAATGCTGGGTTTAATCTAAATATGCAAAACAGAGCGCCGGCAATTGGGTGGATTAAATAGTATGGGGAAAAGTAAAAAAAAAAAAAATAATAATGTGAATATGTGAATAAAATTTGAGATTTTATTTTTAGGCCATATCGTTAGCCCCAATTCTAACAGAGTTGATGATAAAAATCCAGATGAATCATACCCAGTTAATAAAGAGGGCCTGTGTGAACTTCACCACCTCCAGAGTAACTAGCAGGCTGATGGGGATCAGGTTGTTGTAGAGAATGATGAACGTCAGCAGGTTATATGCAAAGTTAAGGGAGATGTCACCTAGAAGAAGAAGAACAAGCTGCATTTGTTCCCCTAACTTTATGCAGACTAGATCCACTGATCTGTGATGTGTGCGTCTGCTCTCACCGGCCCGCGACAGGTACCAGCAGGCTTCATTCGTGTGCTTCTTATTCCAGATGGCGGCGCCCACTGAGCTGATGAGCGCCATGACCAGCAGGATGCCGAACAGGACCAGGATCTGCATGTTGGTCACCCGTTCCACGTTGGAGCGTTTCAACGGCACCTTGGTGGAGTTCTGAACCAAGAATCATTTCATTATGTATGAAGGAAAAAAGGCAAATAACACCTTTTTACATCTCTTTGCTTAGGGAAAATTTTCATTCATGAAAACTAATCAAGAAAAGCATTGAGTAAATTCTAAAACAACTCCCTTGGTACAAACTTTTTAGATCATTGATAATCAAAGCTCTGGCTTTAAAAAAAGTCTTCATCTTGTGAATAAACTAAGTAAATGTCAGCCTTTGCTTTAAATTCAAACCCTTTCTTCTCTTGGTTCTTAGAAAGCTCCAAGATTTGACTTACCTGCATTAATTTGGAGTCGTGGCCCGTATAGACAACGATTCCCACGACCCACTGTGTGTTCCTGAGTTGGGCTCCACGGAGCAACACTTGGTCTGGACCCAGAGGAGCTGGACTAAGGAAAAACATATTGAAGAAGTTTGTTACATTAATGGAAATTTATGAGATTTAATTGTTAACATTGGCTGGTTTAACTGCATGCCTGTTATTTTCTTATGCCAGATGTCGGGATGCTCTGAATTTCAGTTTCTTAAAGAATCCAAATGAGTAAATCTGAATACCTACCGTTTTCTGGCTGATCTTCAAGCACAATTTATTGTTTTACATTAAATTCTACCCTGACCAGGTAAATAAGAAACAATTTAAATCATATCCCTCTTGGTAGAACAACTGCTGCTAAGACCTGTGAGTGTCTCACTTCTGGTTCTGCAGGCGCAGGGTGCCGGTGAAGTCGTACAGGTGTCTGTTGGGGCCTTCGCACTCCAAATGACCCGACAGCGCCATCAGATCCTCCAGGGTCTGAAAACCGGCTGTCAGGGAAAGACCCTGGATGTAAAGGAAGCAAGGATATCTAAGATAAGGAACATCATGACGAACAAAAACAGAACAAAAGTCTGAAAAGATTTCAGTAACAGATAATAATGCAAAGTTCCTGCTTCACTTCTGATGCTTTATTTTGATACTGGAAGATTTTAACCTATGATAAACAAAGGACACCAAAAAATGTTTATTTAAAAACATCCAAACTTTGTAAGACTTAAGTTGTCCGTTTCTAAGGATGATAAGTGAAAGGAACAACGGATGGATTGAACAAAGAGAAAACTTTCTTTTAAATCAAAGGGGGGCCCACCACAGAACATTTGGGAACCAGTGAATGAATGGATGTATTAATGGATGATTGGGAAAAACAATCAAAATTGGAAATATTTGTTATCATCATTCAAGACTTTATCCATAACTGTGTATCAATCCCATCAATATGTAGAAAAAGCTGGCTGCTTCAGTGAATTATTCTAAAAAAAAAAAATGTGGGAGAAAATGGGCTTTAGGGGATCAATGGTTGATCCTGCAAATGTCTTTCCAACATTTTTTTTTTTACTGTCAATTTTACAAACCAAAATTTAACAAGGGCAGCCAAACAGATTTATTTATTTATTTTTTTTTACCTGTCTGATCTTTAGGTTGGTTTCTCCATCCAGGTTAGACGTCTCGATGTAGCACATGGCCTGTGGCTCACTTCAGGAAGGAGGAAAAGGTAAAAAATAGAATGCAAAAAAAAAAAATCTATAAATCAGTTGAAATATAGGTCATTTATTTAAAAAGTTTCATATAAAAACATCTTATCTAACAACAACTTGGTCAGCAAAACAATTCACAGTAATTTAACGTCCTACTGATTATAAACAGAATAATTTTTGGTCAAGAGTAAAAATGATGGGTAAATTATCAGACATTAATGAAGAAATAGTATCAGAAAAAAAACATGTTTATGTTGAGTCACACACAGACAATGTAGTCTACCTGGAGGACAATATAACCATGTCAGCTGGAAGATGCTGGCCATTGGTCACCTTCACTAGGTCTCCTACTGCCACCTGGTGGCCAGGATGCAGCAGAGCAGCAGAAGGAGTGAGGGGAACAAGAGCCCGTATGTGGGGGGGTAGGGGAGTGGGTGGAGAGTAAAGAGAGGAGAAAAGATGCAGGTTAATCAGTGACCAGAAAGAATGCAGCCATCAGAGAGAAAAGACTTGTAACTTCATGACAGCAAGCACAGCGGTGCACTGCTTTAGCGGATCAGGTTAGACCGCAGCAGTTTCACACGAAGGAAACATGAAGTTTGAAGAGAAAACTGGTGAAAAAGAGAAGTTTCTCTCTTTTCCTTTAACTCAGTCAAGCAAAGCACATTGCAAATCTTAAAGCAACAATAATAAACCGTCCATTATGGACCTATAACTCTAAAACGGATTTAAATAACTGAAAGCAAGTCATTTTTTTAAAGCAACATAAAAAACCGTCTCTGATTATCATGTATTTTTAAGTTGTTCCAAAGGGAAAAACTGTTGCAATCCCTTTAGGAAACAAGAGCCTGTAGACAAACTAAAACAGACCACTAAGCATGGGACAAACCTCCTTTTAAAGCAGCACAAAGAGGCAAAAAATGCTTGTTTTCACAGATCCTTTAGAAATTCCTCTACTCCCACCGGCTTAACGTGTGTATTTAGCAAATACCTACTCACAAAAAAGTCTCCAAACATTTATCTAGTCAATATGAAAAAATAACCAGTTATTGGGTAAAATGAGCTGGAATGGCAGTTTGCATTAATTCCCTCACTTGTTCTGAAACATGAAGCCTAAATCCTGACAAACACACCTGTCACCCACACACTGTAACGAGGACCCAGCTCTGACTTGATGCAACCTAATGGAGCGAAGCGGTGCACAGCTGAGCCCAGCTAATGACCATGTCCAATAAGGAGCCCAAATCTTAGGAAAATGAGTGCAGTCACCAACTCACATCTAATAACTAATAATAATTAGAAATGTAATATCTATTGTTCATTTACTGTAGGGAAATACAGCAACTAGAGATCAACTGGTAACATTTTTCACAAAGCCAATGCTGATTATTTTACCATAATTCCAACTTATCACAGATACGTACGGCCGATATATCTTTCTCTTCCTGCAATTACATGCTTAAGGTGATAAATGTTATACAAGTATTGATTTATGCAAATAAAGGAAAACAGAGGGAGCGGCAAAGCATGCGCTACATGCAGCTGAGTGCACTAATGAAGGCATGCAGCAATCAGCCGATGCAAGAAAAAAACGCTTAAATCAGCCATTCGACGCATTGGTCAATCTCTAATGCCAACTTCCACTTTCACCAGCGACCATCTTTAAAGTACATCCTATTATTGTAGAGCATTCCTACACTGAAAGGAATGGATACAAATATAACCTATAACTTTTAAAAGTTGAGTAGATTTATTCACTCTGGGGAAAATCATATGTCAACAACAAAATTCTTTCTGGCACATTTATTATGACATTTTTGGAGTTATTAATAATTTATAGGCCGTAGATAGGCCCCTAGATAGAAACTCTATCATAACACTCTTGCTTTGAATCCCCCAAAACGGCTGGAGCAATCAAGAAGGATCTTTGATTATCACTCATCTACAGTCAAGTATATAACTATAAGATCTTTAGCTCCAGAAACTGAGGCCTCGGATTGATGATTTTTTATTAGGTAGAACTTTTTACGCAAAAAATAAATTAACATTTAGAAAGGTGGCTCTGGATTTGGAAAAATTGAGATAATGTGAATTATGAACCCTTTCTATGTTAACTTGATCAATTGTTTTGGTTGTTCTTTTCAAGGTTATTATTGTTAATGAAGATTAATGAAATAACGAAAACTAGAGTTAAAAAACATTTTGGTTTACTGAAAAAAATAAAATCCAGACCTTGCAAAAAAATTAAAAACTGATACCTGAACTGTAATAAAAGTTTCCAAAATGAATTAAACCAAATAAAATTGTAAGAGAAAAATGTGCTAAGTTTTTATTTGTGTCTTTATCAAAACGCATTAATATGAGATGATCTTTATGGTTCCTGTTTAAGCTTTTTTTCTGCTGTAAGGCAGTCAGGTCATTTGTGTTACTGCAGAAGTCTGTCCTTATCTAGGATTTTATTTCTACTATTATTTTTCTTTTTTAGTCTTGCCCCCAGTAAGCAGGTCTAATTACATAAATGATTAAAACCATAACTAATAAAATAAAAAGTAAACAAAGCATTTAAAAAAAACAAGAACTAAATAAATACTTAAAATTAACTAATTAAAACTAAAATAGAATTGAAAATCAAAATTCCAAAATAAAAAAAACAAAAAACGTTTCAAAACTATTTTAACCTTGGTTCTATAAAGAGTCTAAACAATCAAACTTTTTTAATTTTATCGCAGGGGTCGAATGGCCTAAATTGGCAGTAGCCAGATTTATATGTGTAGAACTGAGTTCAGTTCTATGTTATCAATCTGGGATGGCTGCTGTTCAGTCTGTCCGTGAAAAGGAGGGACGTTTAGAAAATACTTTGAGCTGATTGTGTGACGTGCCAGCTAGTACCTGCCTTCCATAAAGCTGGACATAACTGTGCAATTTTTTGCCCTTTTTGGGCCAATTCTCCAGTAGGGCCGAGTTTCAGCCTCATCATGTGTCCTGCGACATGTTGATAAGGAATCATGAGGTCAGGAAAAAATCGAACATGTTTTAAATTCAGTCAGCCGCCGTGAGGTGTTTGTGTGTAAATCCTGCTTTTGAAGCAGAGCTACGAGTGTCTACGAGCCGATTTACCAGAACATCGCACACTGCGCATGTGTAAGCAAGGGAGTTCTTCTAACAGATTGATGAGTCCAACCAGCGCCATCTCTCAGTGTCCAGCGTGTTGTTTCACATCAGAAACTCTGCGATTTAGTTGTACATATTGAGCTTTAGCTGAGTACAACGGATAAAACGTTGCACAGTGTATTCCCGGCTTAATAAACTTTCAGCTAATCGTAACAGTGAATCGTGACGTTTCGTAAGCTGATAAATCAAACTTTTCCCAAATCCTGTCTGAAGAAAGGCACAGACATTGTTCTCATCCACAAATGCACAAAGTGCTTCTCTTTGCTCCTTTTTTAAACGAGAAATTGTCGCCATTTTAGCTAAAACTGAATCAATTGCAGTATCAACAGGTGAGTTCTCAGCATAGCCATGTTTTTATGCCCCAGCAAGGCCCTTCTGACTGTCATTCCTGTTATGCCCCGCCCATAAAAACACTGCTGGCATATCATTGGTTCGACTTTCTGGTTGTTACGAGACGGACATATTAGCAGGAGTCTTTCAAGATGGATTTGTTGTGAGACTGAAAACTCAGATCTAGCTGTAAAAGGTTAGTTTCCCAAAGCCCTTGGAAGAAAACCAGGCCCCACAGCATCATAGATTGTCTACTATACCTTAAGATAGGAATGTGTTGCTTTTCACATGTTTATTCTTTATTTCTGGTAAAATCCACCAGTGTTTGTCGCCTGGAAGCTGAATTTAAAGATATAAAAAGTCACGTGTGCTTGCCTGAGCTGCATTTAAAGTCCCACAAACAACATTTCCAACGCTGACAAATGTTTACATCCTTGTTAGAAACTTCCAAAATAACAGGTTGCCATGTAGACTTTCTGACCCTAAGATGCCAATCTTTCTTGTAGTGTCTGGTTGCATTATAAATGTTGTAGCTCTTAGCTATATGGGCGAGTTTGGGTGATCAGCTGCTTTCTTATAGCCATTTAGTGCCAACATTAAGATCAAAACACACCAGAAAATTCTCAACCCAGCTTACCCTTTATGAATAATAGATATTTGTGTAAAACTGTACTGGGATTAATAGAAATTAACTTTTATTTATTTTTTTTAGCTATTCATTATGAAAGATCTTTTCCACAAACTGTATTATCTCATAGTGGTGTTTCCATCATTTGTGCCAAAAAGATGCAGCAAACAGAGGCGTACAGGTGAGAGTGAAATCACAAGCGTGATAAATGAGACGGCAGCAGTCGCGCGTATGTGATGATAGTGATACCTGCTTCCAGATGATCGTCTGCCAAGCTCCGTTCCGCAGCACTGAGAGACAAGGACAACACAGCCATCAGTCAGCCTTATGGAGAGACTCTCATACAGTATTCATGGCCTCTAAACTTTTGTCTTTTTTTTGTGTGCGTTGGCCTGAGTGCCCTGTAATGCTATAATGGCCGACAAACAACAGTCATTCATCCAGCCATGAAAGGAAAACAAAACCCTGGCAAACAGACACTCATGGAAAACCGCTCAATATACCTGTCGTCTTCTTCTTGTTCACTGTGTTGTCCGCTTTGTGTCTTTTCTGCAACAAGGCAAGCAGAAAAGAAGTTTTGGTATAAAAATTTTGAAGCAGTGAAGCATTAAAAACTTGCTCCGGAGGCCGATTTACTATCTTGATGTTGTCCATGCTGAGGTACTCACATAGTCCTCTATGATTTCTTTAATTCCCGCCACAGTGAGGATGAAAATGAGCGGCACCAGAGTGGTGTAGCGTCCGGTCGGTGATACATCAGGGATTTGCTAATGAGAACCGATAAAACAACTTACATTTATGTCTGTATTGATGGACAGCATAGAGGAAGTAAAACTTTTAGCAAAGATGGACTATTCTAGAAATGACAACCAAAACAGCTCTCTGCTTCTAAAAAATACTGATTTAACTTGTACAATGAAGACTCCAGTTTCACAAACATGTCAGAAAAGAGGCTGATAATGTAATAGATCCTTGGAAAAAAAAACAGGAAATGAGAAGAAAATGGAAAAGAAGGAATCTAACAGTCAGAATGGGTTCTAGTTTTTTTGTTTCCTTTCTACTTAATTTGGCTTTTCTTACTAAAACATCATAAAATAATTAAATCTAATGTGGCTTAAAGTCAGTTTTTAATCAATAATCATTCTGATGCTTCTATAGTTGGAATTGATGTTGGAAATATTAATACAATTTAAAACCCAGGCTTATTGGTTTATTCACTTTAGATTAGATATTGGTTCCCATGTTCTAAAGCACAGGTGTCAAACTGGTTCCAGAAAGGGCCGTGTGGTCTCATAAAGTGAGTCCAGTCTTATAATGATGACTTGATGAGATGAAGAGTCTGGTGTGTCATTGCTTGGTTGGAAAGAAAACCTGCAGCCACACGGCCCTTTCTGGAACCAGTTTGACATCCCTGTTCTAAAGGATCAGGATTCTGGACTGGGTGTTCCAATGTTGACATCTGGTTTAAACTTCAGACTCTCCTAGATAACTGCTGGTGAACCAGAGGACCTTTGTTCAAGTTTACATGTGGTCCAGTGGGTTTTATCTGATTAAACATGGTCCATCTTTTCCTCCAGTTACCTTGGTCCACAGAATCAGGACTCTGGCACAAGTTTGATGTATAAACTTGGTCAAAAACCAATCTGGTTACCAGATTATGGATGTTTAACAAGTGGATAGTTTCCACACAACAGGTTTTAATCCGATTTGAATGGAGACTTCAGCTTATAGTGATGACATATTTTTACAACATGTTAGGAAAGAATTACCAAAGACTGTAATATCAGCGCAGAACCTCAAAAAGATAAAAAAATGACCTTTTTAAAGTTTGACAGCCACGGTATAACAGCCAATTCATAAGGCCACTGTACAATTTATGCTATCATATATATATAATTATAAAATGTACAATTTAATTTATTTGATTAAATCGGGATTAATACAATATTTTTTAAATGGATGAATTAGAAGAATCTTAGATTTCATCTAACTGAAAGCATAAAACATCGTTTTTGTCATAAAAATTTATATATTAAGTTGGAGAAAACTAAAAATAAAGTGTGATGTAAAACTGAGATGTAAACTGTTGTGAATATCTAAAGAAGAAAATCTGTAATTATTTTAGCTGTGTTTTATTTATTAATACTTTTAACCCATAACCTGAAGAAAATCCTTCTTCTTTAAAGAAAGTTAAACTTTAAAAATATACATTCATAAAATACAAAGAGAAGAAAAAAAAAAGAAAAAAAAAAGGAGGAAGCGGCTCAGGGCTTTTTAAAAGTCAATGCTGAGACATTTTCAACTCTTATTGGTCCATCACAATCTAAAGAAAAAGACTAAAACCCAAACCCAAACTAAAACCAGTTTGTTTTTACCTGCATAAGTGCGATAAACAGGAAGAAGGCGTTAGCCGCCCTTCTGATCTGCTCATACAGGAACCGGGGCAGGAAGGTGAAAATCCCATACTTGGTGGTACTATAAAAATAAAACGGAAACACAAGAGATTTAATCAAATTGTGTTCAGATAAACCAGAGAAACAAAAAGGTCAAATAATGCATTAGCAACCCCAGAAATTGACGAATACATTTCAATAAAGTCCTCTAATGATCTATAATGACATCAATTCCTTAGGGAGAATGAATAGACTAAACTCCATTTGGATTTAAACACTACCTTCTGCTCAGGTAGGGGAAATCAAGATCCATTATCAGCTGCTTACACTACACACTTAGAAATAGATCAAGATATTTAGTCCATCGCACTAAATCAAGACCGAGAATCCAGAACATAAAAAACAAAGAAACCCTGGCAACCTAATCTTCCTGTCAGTCAGCTGTATTGATGAGACAGTGGCATTGATTAGCCTTGATATAGCCATTAGCTAATGTAAATGCTTTTACACAAGCTAAAAATAAAGCCAACCTTCAAGTTGAAGCCTTTTTTGTTTTTGTTTGTTTTTCCTTCCTTTGCCTAAGTGATGAGTAAAAGCTTCTGCACGGATCTTGATTTAATGGATCATGTATGTTTGTGTGCTTGAGTGCAGTGGGTGCGCATGCATCAAATGGTGCAGTGTGGCTCTGGATCCCCAAAGAGACAAACCCGTGACCTGCTCCACTCTGCCACCTCTGACCCCTCATATCTGCCTTATCCTTAAACAGACACAAAATACCAGAAGCAAAATGTTACACAGAAAAAAAAAAAAAAACACAGAGGGAGCAGCAGCTGTTGTTCAGACACATGGACAGGCGGGTTCCCGGAGGCTACGGATACCTCCAAGTTGGTAATACTACACATCTCAATACAATCAAAAGAGGGACTTCCGCTAAGAAAAAGGGGCCCATTTCCACTTTGTTATACAAAAATAATCATCTGGATGTGTTAGTTTTTGTATTGTAAATACCCCCCCACACACACATATATAATATATATATATATGTCCTGAGTGCAGGAATTGAGCAGCTGTTGGCAGCAGGGGTGATGCTGTCCTGCAGCTGTGCAGCTTTGGAGTGTTTGCATAGAAAACAGCATTCAAAGCACAGAGGAGTGGAAAAGCATCTGCCTTTCTTACGGATTTCCTTTTTTTTTTACTATTTCATATTAATAACCAAATTTGAATAATTCAGAAAAAGGTAGCCCAGGAAAATTAAAAACTGTTCTTTATTTTATTATTTTATTTATAAAAAGAAAAGAAAAGCTATCTACTGACTATGAATTGTTTTAGAGAGATTTCCCCATCTTTTGAATAATCCATATTCTTTATTTTATTTAGTAACACAAAGGCCACTGTGAGATTACTGAAAAAAGTGAGACCAGTGAATAACTATAACTAAACCTGTCTTACAACTTTGTAACATATTTCCAAAAGTATTCATACCCTGATCTAAAAACATGTAATACATGATCAAGGTTACAATACCCTTTCTCAGGCATTCAAAGCGCAGGCATTGACCAAAAAATGAAGAAACCTGGAACAAGGATGGCGGGCAAACTAAAATGAATCCAGGAGGACATCAACCACTGATCCAGGAGGTCAGAAAAAGAACCAAGAATGCAAATAAAACCTTGCAGGGCACAATTGTAGGTTAAAGAGAGAAAATGACTGAAAATGGAAGAGTTCAAAAGCCCTGGACCACTCGTTGTAATCTAAGCAAGTCATTGGGCTCAGTTGGTTGTATAGATATTTTTTTCCCAGAATAAATGAAACCGTCATTTTGAAAATGACTTATCTGTATCACTTGATGAATCAAAACCTTTAAATGTGTAAAAATAGACAAAACATAAGTAATCTGTGAAGGTAAATAAAAAAATCTCTTCCACAGCACTCCTTTACTTTCAGTAAGTTGATGTTGTGTATTGAAGGAGGAGGTCTGGGAAGAGAAGGGTCATGGAGAGAAGAGATAAAAGCTGAAAGGCTTTAATCTCAGAGAGAAAATCAATAACGCTGTTGGACTTTTAGAAACAGAAACTAAAGAGTTACAGGAACACAAGGACATCAAAAGGCTTTTTGCCTCTGGAGTGAGAGTGCTCCTTTCCATCCAATCTGTGAGGAGGAGACGCAGAGCGCCCAACGGGATCCAATCAGATCACTCGAACGGCAACCGCTGTAATCTTATTTGCGGAGCTGAAATTGCCTCTTTTTAAAAAGTGTAATTGAATCTTGCAGAAACAGTCATGCTTAAAAACTAAGAGAATGAGCAGAAAAAAAAACCTTCAGTCACAGAGCAGGAGACTTGTCCTCCCAACGAGGCTAAGTGGACATTAAACGTATAAAAAAAAAAACGAATAAATGCACATACAGAAATGACATGGAAAATATCTACATATTTGGGTAACACATGTATTATCAGAACTGAGCCCCTAAAAACAAAAAAAACAAAAAACCCATTGGGAATCAATGTGATAGAAAAGGTGCAAAGATTTGCGTAAGCTGTGAAAAAAATCAGAAGGTCACTCATTAATGAATCACACCAAAAACCTTCAACATGAGATAAAGGAGCCACAGTTAAGAGGTTTTATTCTCAGCAACATCAGTCAAGCAAATAAATGATTCCACTCAGTTTCCACTCAGAGGAAACAGGCCCACCTGAAGCGTTTCGTGTAACTTTTATGTGAAACTTGTAAATAGGCTTTAAATTTCCCCAGCAGCATTAAATATTAATACTAGCATATTGATTGGGAAACACAAGTGTCACGGTCGTTACCGTGTCGTTAAGCAAAGCTGTTTATCCACTAAAGACATGGTAACCCCACCCTTAATGGTATGAAAGAGGATTTGTCTCAGAAATTAAGGGTCCACATTCATCTAAAAAGAATTATTTGATGGATGGCATTTTAGCACTTATGCCCCCCCCCCCCCCCCCCCCCCCCCAAAAAAAAAAAAATAAATCCATAAACTCTGGCTGTGGTGGTTCCTACAAAACATTAGCTAATCTACTTTGACTAATGTCGAAAGTGAATTGGCTACTTGCTTGTCAATCAAACATTTTGTAAAATATTTGTGCCGCCATGATGTTATTTACGTTGGCTCCAAGCATCGTCACTACCCGATCCATCCCAGAAGCACTAGCTGCACCATCAGCTCATTTGCTGCTCACAAAGATATATATCCTTTTTGTTCTCAATTGTATTTTCTAAAATAGATTACTGTTTTCCCTCCCCAAAAAAGTAAACATAACTAAACTATAATGTGTTAAAGGTTAATAATGTATTTCTTGAGAAAATAAATTCCTTAAAATCTCTCTTTCCTGCTTTATAACTCGCCAGTGCATGATCTGCACCGGAAAAAGGATCCTATGCTACTTCCAGGAACTTTTTTGGCTTTGGATTAAAACATGGCACCATTTTTTTTTTTTCTTTTTTCCTTTCGTGTTAAAATTATTGTATATAGTGCACAACCTAAAGAAAGAGACAACTAAAATGCAGATTAACATGGTTTGATCATATTTTGCCAGACTGCTCTGAGCATGGTCAGATGATGAGAGACATGATCAGAGAAGAGGGCTAACGGAGAAAATGTAAAAAGCTTTGAAATAGTTTCAGAAAGAATCGTAAAACCGGTTTTAAAGATATTTATTAGCAGTCTTAAGTGAATTAAAGGTAGAAATAAGTATTTTAATACTATAATTACAACATTTATGGAAACCCTGGTTGCGCATGCTCAAATGAGCTGATGGCACGGATCGTGCTTCCGTGACGGATTGGGTAGAGAAAGGTGTAACGCATACCCTGTTTGGCTAGCGGAGCACAGAAAAGTACTCCTACGCTTGTTTGCTGCTGCGGCTTTTGTTTTTTAACTATCTTTTCACTCTTTTGTAAAAACTTGAAAAGAATCCTGCAAACCTTACCGCTGAAAAAAAAAATCCTTTTTTCTATGTAGTTGAAAAGAACAGAGAAAGTGGGAGAGAACAGAGATGGCTAAGTATGTGTTTAGGAGATTATTTTCAGAGATGACGTTCCCTGAAGGTACAATAAGGTCTGAAATCTGATGCTTTGGTCGCAAAAGTTCTGTTGGACAGGTAAATTAAGTTCAATTCTGTAGGAAGTACTGTATTTTTCTTCTTATGGAGATTTCCTGCTGACTAGGTTGCTTCCTGGCACTTTGCTGCCTCTGTAGGTGAAATACAAAATTAGCGGCGGAGGCGTTTCCAGCGTGGAGAACTTTTGCGAAGGAGGGGGCACTGACGCAAGCGCACGACTCAAAAATCCACCAAATTCACCAAATAACCCTTTTTCCTGCCTTTAAGGAAGTAGGCTACATTAGAAACATTAGAAATCTAGTCATTGATTAGTATTTAAATGAAAGGAAAATGTTAAAAGAGAGGGACAATCCCACCTGTCATGAATAATAGAGAAAGGTAATAGAGGAAATTCATCCAATGAAAAAACTGACACATTGCTTAAGACCACAACAAACACATGTGCAAGAAAAGTGGGTGAAAAGGACATGATTCAAAACCAAAGACAGCGACCAGAAATAGAAAGGGGTTTTTGTTTTTTGTTAATGTTTTTTTTTATTATTATTTGTTTCCCTTTGTGTAATTTTGAATTCAAACTGTTAATATCTTTTTTGTATGTAAGCATATACTAAAAATGGTAATAAAAAGTTAAATGATAAAAAAGAGAGGGTTAAACAACCATATCTGTCAAGTCTAAAGTCTACTTGACACACAGGTGAAACATAGTGGCTGTCAGAGACCGTCCTTTAACCCCACTCATTGTGGATTTAAAAGTAAGCAAACATTAGCTCTGTTTGACCATCTTTTTTTTTTGCAGGGCAAAGAATCAAAACTAAAAATTGCAACTCATAAATAAAAAAGGAGTGGAATTTACTAAGCTGGCTCAAACAGAAGCCATAACCTACAAAAAGAAAGTTTTCACTATACTGAAGAAATATTTGGGTATAAAGCAGAAAATAATGGCTTTAATGAAAAAAAAACATTACCAAATGTATTATACCTAAATATTTGTGACTAGAAAGGAGCAAACAATTGTTGCAGGAAGTGCTGCTAGCTAATCTCATTTCTCATTCGCTGCTGTTTGATATGAGATACAAGAGAGTCACTAAAAAGAAAAACAGCCATTTATGATACAACTAGAAATACAATTTAAAAAGTGTTTTCTGTTTGAATTATTAAAGAGGAATTGCGAATAGTATTTATCAATCCTTTTTAAATGCCACCATTTAAAATGTGTTTTCAAATCCTTTTTCTGGAAAGATATAAAAAAAAACACACAATTTGTAAATCTGACTATAAATACCTATTTTCTTTTTATTTTCCTGTCTCCATTTACCTTTTCCGTGACCCTTCTGGTCCTAAAGTAACCTGAATACTAGTTAAACCAATCACAGCTGCTCCTCAGATGTTACCAGCTCCCTCATTGGCCAGACAACACACTTTGCTTACTAAATGACCAATGAGGAAGCTAGTTACATCTGAGGAGATTCATGGGATTAATCTTAATTAATCGATTATCAAAATAATCGTCAACTAATTAAGTAATCAATTAATTTTTAAATGGAGTGTAGCGACTCTAAAAAATGCCTTTAGCTGACAGATCAACCCACTTAGAGCAGTAATTATATCAAAATTTGTTTTTTTTTAAACACTTAAAATATTGCATTTAAGATTTTAAAAAAATGCTGTCTGTAAACATGTTTTATACAGAACTTCTCAAGTAAAAAAGTTTTAGTTTCACCTGATTTCATTTAATAAAAAAAAACTTCTTTAAGTAGTCTTTGGCTATCTGATTATAAATTGATAATTAGAAGAAAAAAAATCAAATGATTATTCAATTTACAGACTAATCATTAGTTGCAGCCCCAAAGTATACATTTTCAAATTGCAGTATTTACTAATTGATTAATAAATACAAATTACAATTCCTATTTAAGAATTAAAATCTAAAAAAATAAACAATAAGAAAAATGCTTTTTAAATTTGATTTTTAACTGTATGATTAAAACGGCTGTTTTTCTTTTTCAGAGACCCGCCTGATCCTCCATAGGTGGAAGGCCAATACATTTACAAAGGTTGCAGGCCCATATTAACAACATTTTTTCAAACTTGTTAGGAGTCAATTAATGTCAAACGACTTTGGATTGAAAATGTGTTTGAGGTGTAAATAAGCTTAGAAAAACAGCTAGCGCTAAGATTAAACTTGCAAACGAGCTGAGCTTCTTAAACCAAGAAGGATTTGTTGAAGGATGAACAATTCAATCTAATGCTCTGCTTACATAGTTTTGCTCAAAACAACATTGCAAACATAGGAGAGCCATTTTTAAGCAGGGAGTATTTTTATCCACAAGCATGTTTGAATACCTACTAGTGACATCATAGTGAAAAGTTTGCTAAGTAGATTTGTTAATTGAAATGCAAAAAAAAACAATCCTTTTTTTTATTTTTGTAAACAGGTAAAATCACAAATCCTTCACAAATCACAAATCATCAAATTTTGGTTTGTTTTGGTGTCAGATTATTGATATTTCACTGTATAAAATTGAACCATTGACTATAAACACCAAGGTAGTTTACAGAATAAAAGAAAAGCTGGTGTGTTAGGCATACAAATATTTGTGTGGATATTTTCTGTTTTAAATGTACATTTCTTCTTCAGAGGAAATGTACTCCATTAAGATACTGCAACTGGTGCATGGAGACTTGAAGAAAAAGTCCGATTCCAAGGAAAAGCTGCGCCGAGGATTATAATCTCTACATATGGTGCACCTGCTTGACCACTGAGCCATGTGACGACCCCTGTCAGCTAAGCAGATTTAAATTGATAAAACCACCTTGGATCCCCAAAGGGAAACCTGGTGGTGGCAGGGTCGTCGAATGCTTTAAATCAACATGGAAGCTGGTCTGAGTTCATTGTGGAAAAATAATATGCCGACTACAAACAACATAGTGGAGGAAGATCTGCTAAAGGTTATAATACTAAACACACAGCCAAAGATACAATTACATAGTTAAAAACTAAGCAAGTCAATGTTTTAGAAAGGCCAAGTCAAAGTCTAAACTTCTATCCAATTAATATGTGGCAACACTTGAAAATTGATTTTCATACATGATTAATTTTAATTACAGGAACGGTGCATATTAATAATATTTCTGTCAAGATCCTTAGCCAGAAGCTTTTTTTTTTTTTACCTGCAGTCTCTAAGATAGTTAGTAAAAAAGTCACCCTAGAGGGTAAAGTTTAAAACTACACATTTGCATAATAATAATATAACAATTACATTAAGTTAAAGTGCTATAACGCTAAATAGTGCTTTACAAACATCAGGCAAGACAAGCTGATATCAGGTGGATTTTCCTTGAGAAAATAATCAAATCTTCCCTCCTTGTGATTAGATTTGAGGGGGGTGATGAACAGTGAATAATCTTTCTTTTTTATTTGACCTTTATTTAGGCAAGGCAAGGCAAGGCAAATTTATTTGTATAGCACAATTCAGTACAAAGACAATGCAAAGTGCTTTACATGATTAAAGTACAGGAAGATAAAACAGAATCAAAGCAAGTAGGAAAAAATAAAAAACAAATAAAATAAAATAAAAAATGCAGAAACAAAAAAAGAATATTAAAAACAGTTGGATTAAAGAAAACATGTTTTTGTTGAATTATTTAACTAGAACAGTCGAAGGCAATCCTAAACAAATGTGTTTTTAGTCTTGATTTAAAGGAACTCAGGCTTTCCGCACTTTTACAGTTTTCTGGAAGTTTAATTTAATCATTAATCTTTTTTTTTTTTTAAGCCAGATGCCCTAAAAACCTGCCTGTTATAAATGCTGGTTCTGAGCATGTTGGACAACAACAACAACAGGTCTTCTTGAAATAATTTCTAGCAAAAGAATAATTAAATACATGCTAATTACTAACCTAAAAGATATATTAAAACTCTTTGGTCACTGTGTAATTATGCGCCTGTGAGTCTTTCATTCACAAATCTTGATTATTGAGGTCTTTACACATTTTTTTTTTACTTAAATATGAGAAAAAAAAGTCTAGTTCTGCTGGAGGTTTCTTCCTGTTAAAAGGGAGTTTTTCCTCTCCACTGTCACTACATGCATGCTTAGTGTGAGGGGAAACTGAATCAATTTGACTGTATGATCTGGTGAACTGTAAAGTGCCTTGAGATGACATGTGCATACAAATAAACTGAATTGAATAATAAGTAAAAGTCAAAGCAGAAACCAAGCATTAGAAGAAGTTGAAGCCTACCTCACGTGGTTGTCGCAGAACTTGGTGTTTTGGGGCCGGTTGAGGACCACCGTTCGCGCCGTAGCGTCCACCGGGTCCGCCTGGGAAGTGGTCCCGGACATCTCGTCGTCCGCCTTTCGGTAGCCGGCGGACGAGCCGGAGGGTCCTGCGCCGTTGGATTGATGGGAGAGAGGTGAGGCTGAGTGAGTCCGAGACACAGAGACAGAGGGGTGGGAAAAATCACACACACACACATATATATATATGTGGAGCAGAGTGGGTTTCTACAGTCCAACCCAGAGGCTGGCCGCTGTATGCTGATCTCTGCTGGAGCGGTTCGGGTCGATTCGTTGACTCTAATTGTCTTTCATGCGTGTGCGCGCGCGCTCACTGCGCCCACGGGACCCCTTGCGCGTAATAATGGATATGCTGAGTGATGCACAAAGGCGAACAAACACGGCCTGTTTGTTTTTTTATCAGCTGCTCACATGGACACTGAGTGCGCATTCAGACCGAGGATATCCAGTAAAGTGACAGAGGAGGAAGAGGAGTAACGGCTCTGCTCCTTCTGCTCCTTCCTCTCCTCCCTGCAGCCTGTATGGCTTTGTCATCTCCGAGCGTCGTGATCTCCGCTCGTTCACCCCCTTCGCGCGCGCGCGCTTCAGCTAGATGGGATTTACTCCCCTTAAAACGAGTCTTGGAGAAAAGGGCAGATAAAAGCGAACAGGTTTTGTAGCCACAGCTTTAACTTTGCTGCTGGAAAAAAACGGCGAGCACGCATGGGCGAGGGCGGCTCAGGCTGCCCGCTCCTTCCCGCTCCTCTCTCAACCTGAAGCTGCCTGTGAGATCTAGGAAGTGTGCGCCTCCAAGCTGACAAGCTTTAAAGATTTTATCGGGTACGTTAGAGGCGAGCTCCTCCCTGCAATAACGATGCTGCTCAGACAAATGAAGCGGGGAAGCCATATGGAGCTCCTCCAGAGCTGCGCGGCTCAGCTTTTAAAGGGCCAGCAGGCTCGCTTAGCCTTAAGTTCTGTGGTCAGAGACACAGATGGGAGTCAAATGACATCTGGCAGTCAGGAACCATCCATCAGAGATCACATCATGTCGCTTTGGGTTTACTCAGACGCTCCTGCTACTTCCTAAAAGATCTATGTTCCTTGAACCTTCAAAAACAAAACCCCCAGTTTAAAAAACATGGGCATCAGTTTCCACAGCTTTGTGTTATGGAACCATGTCTAAGGGAAAGTCTGTGAGTGAAACCATCACCAGACTAATTGCATGAATAATAAAAAAAAAAGAATAAGCCGAAGCAGGGTTCCGCTTATTGAATTTCCAAAGTCCTGAAGTGCCATTTCTGCACCGCAGCGGTACAACAGTAGATGCATTAGTCTGTTCCGTCATCAATAACCAAAATTGGATTAACGTTTTTAGATTTCACTCAAGCAGGATATTCTGGGCGTGACAAGAAATTGCAAAAAAAGTACACAGAGATACAAAAAGGTATTACTACATCTTAAACTTTTTTTGTTGATGCATAGTAAACACAAACCTTTATATATATTACTGGGATTATTTGTGATAGAAGAAAACAAAGTAGACTAAAGGCCAATTTATGCTTCTAATGCATAGCCTCTGCAACCGTCAAATCTGTCTCTGCACACCTCAAAAAAAATCCTGACTCCGCGTCGGACGGTAGAAAACCTCAAGCGGAAGTGCGGAGACAAAAAGCAGCTGTGATTGGTCATTGGTATGCCTTTCCGGCTGTCTGTGTGGTTGTCAACTACAATGGACAACTACGACAAAAAGTTATTCAAGGAGGTTCGGAAGTACAATCCGTCGAAGTTCTCGCAAGTTCTCGAATAGGCTCCGCTTAGCGCTTTGGCGGTAAACTGCTCTGCGTCCCTAGAAATTCCAGCCTGGCGGTGCAGAAGCATACCAGCAAAACTGGTTCGCGACCAGACCCAAGCACCATTTGATGTGTGCGGTTGCAGAAGTATAATCTGCCCTTAAAGGCCAATTTATGCCTCTGACGCATAGCCTCTGTTACCATGAAATCCGTCTCTGTGCGTGACCACGCCCCCCCGTGCAGAGGCTCTGCAACTGTCGTCACGCACCTCAATGCGTGACGACATGCCTTTCCGGCTGTCTGTGTGGACGTCCTTCTCGATTCGGTGCCGGGGCGCACCATTTTTAAAAATCGAGGAACACCTACAATGGACAGCCTACACGTCCTCCTTTGTCTTTTTGCCAACTCCATTAACAGAACCTGTTCCTCTTCGACGTCTAGCGACTCTAGATCCATCTCCGTGATCGTGTTATCTTTCAGACGCACCACTGTTGTATTAGAAGATAAACACTTCCGCCGGCTCCGCCAAAGTTTTCGTGAGTTGTTAAATAGGCCCCCTCTAGCGCTTTGACGGGAAACTGCTGTGCATCCCTAGAAATTCCAGACCGATGGTGCAGAAGCATACCAGCAAAACTGATTCGCGACCAAACTCAAGCAACATTTGATGTTTGCAGTTTCAGAACCCCAAATTGTTTATAAAGGCATGCTAAAATGCCCTCCCAGGAGCCAAATGCATGTTAAACTTTCCTTTTGGTAGCCAAACCGTGTGCTAAAGTGCCCCCTTGTGAACTAAAACACATGCAAAAGGGTCCTCTCGGGAGCCAAAATCTGTGCTAAACTGGCCTCTCAGGAGCCAAACAACTGCTAAGCTGCACTCTTGGTAGCCAAAACATGTGATTAAAGTGTCATCTTGGCAGCTACAATGCATGCTAAGGTGTCCTCTTGGGAACCAAAACGCGTGTTAAGTGCCCCCCTGGGAAGCCAAAAAGTGTGCAAAACTGGCCTCTCAGCAGCCACAATGTGTGCTAATCCTCTTGGGAGCCAAAATAAATCATAAGTTGCCCTCTTTACGTATGCTGAAGCCCTGTGATGGACTAGCAACCTGTCCAGGGTGTACCCCACCTCTCACCTGTAGACGCCTGGAGATAGGCACCAGCACCCCTCACGACTTCGCCTAGGATAAAGCGTGTCAGAAAATACAGGTGCTGGTCATAAAATTAGAATATCATGAAAAAGTAGATTGATTTCAGTAATTCCATTTAAAAAGTGAAACTTGTATATTATATTCATACATTACATACAAACTCATATATTTCAGATGTTTATTTTGTTTAATTTTGATGATTACAAATGACAACAAATGAAAATCTCAAATTCATCATATCAGAAAATTTTAATATTACTGAAGACCAATAAAAACAAAGGATTTATAGAAATGTTGGCCAACTGAAAAGTATGAACATGAAAAGTATGAGCATGTACAGCACTCAGTATTTAGTTGGGCCTCCTTTGGCCTGTATTACTGCAGCAATGCGGCGTGGCATGGAGTCGATCAGTCTGTGGCACTGCTCAGGTGTTATGATAGCCCAGGTTGCTCTAATAGTGGCTTTTAGCTCTTCTGAATTGTTGGGTCTGGTGTATTGCATCTTCTTCTTCACAATACCCCATAGATTTTCTATGGGGTTAAGGTCAGGAGAGTTTGCTGGCCAATTAAGAACAGGGATACCATGGTCCTTCAACCAGGTACTGGTAGCTTTGGCACTGTGTGCAGGTGCCAAGTCCTGTTGGAAAATGAAATCTGCATCTCCAAAAAGTTGGTCAGCTGCAGGAAGCATGAAGTGCTCTAAAACTTCCTGGTATGTGGCTGCGTTGACCCTGGACCTCAGAAAACACAATGGACCAACACCAGCAGATGACATGGCACCCCAAACCATCACTGACTGTGGAAACTTTACACTGGACTTCAAGCAACGTGGATGAAGTGCCTCTCTTCTTTTCCTCCAGACTCTGGGACCTTGATTTCCAAAGGAAATGCAAAATTTACTTTCATCAGAGAACATGACTTTGGACCACTCACCAGCAGTCCAGTCCTGTTTCTCTTTAGCCCAGGCAAGACGCTTCTGACGCTGTCTGTGGTTCAAGAGTGGCTTGACACAAGGAATGCGACAGCAGAAACCCATGTCTTTCATACGTCTGTGTGTGGTGGTTCTTGAAGCACTCACTCCAGCTGCAGTCCACTCTTTGTGAATCTCCCCCACATTTTTGAATGGGTTTTGTTTCACAATCCTCTCCAGGGTGCGGTTATCTCTCTTGCTTGTACACTTTTTTCGACCACATCTTTTCCTTCCCTTCGCCTCTCTATTAATGTGCTTGGACACTGAGCTCTGTGAACAGCCAGCCTCTTTAGCGATGACCTTTTGTGTCTTGCCCTCCTTGTGCAAGGTGTCGATGGTCGTCTTTTGGACAACTGTCAAGTCAGCAGTCTTCCCCATGATTGTGTAGCCTATAGAACTAGACTGAAAGACCATTTAAAGGCTTTTGCAGGTGGTTTGAGTTAATTAGCTGATTAGAGTGTGGCACCAGGGGCCATCAATTTTGAACCTTTTCACAATATTCTAATTTTCTGATATGATGAATTTGAGATTTTCATTTGTTGTCATTTGTAATCATCAAAATTAAACAAAATAAACATCTGAAATATATGAGTTTGTATGTAATGTATGAATATAATATACAAGTTTCACTTTTTAAATGGAATTACTGAAATCAATCTACTTTTTCATGATATTCTAATTTTATGACCAGCACCTGTAGATGAATGGACCTATGCTGAACTGCCCCATTTGGCAACCAAAGCGTGTGCTAAAGTGCCCCCTTGGAAGCCAAAATGTGTGCTAATGTGCCCTGTAAGGAGTCAAAACATGGCCCTCTACAGTGGACAGGATGCACTGTATGGCATGTCTTGTACTGAGGTTGGCATAAGTCATGTAGCTTGCACAGCAGTATTGTAAAAGGAGCAACAGATTGAAGATTGGAGCAGAGGTTCACCTTCTAACTGGGCTAATCGACCTTAACCTTACAGCCAGAGCTACAATTAAATGTTTAAGTTCAGAGCACCTCATGTGTTAGTCATTGGTTTATATCTTTAAATGCCAATATAATACAATTTAACAGCGAATAAACTTTATTCTACAGCGTTACAGCACCCTCCAAAATGACTGCCTGATGGGCTTTTTATTAAGAACTAATGAGCCCAATATGCCCCTTTATGCTACAGCTAAATGACTTTAAGATTTGAATTATTGTTGTAGACGATCAATTTGAGGTAAGTATATATTTTCTTGCAGTTCTTACTTAAATTGTATGTTATCTAGCCACTTCAAACACAAACGTTCACATCATATGCATCCCCCAGGGAAACAGGAAGACATGGATTAACAGGAAGTAATATATGAATTATTTTTATTTTAAAAAATGGAACTCAAAATCACAAAAAGGCTTCAAGTACAATAACTGTGGCTGTTGAAAAATATATATACTCTAAAGGTGGGAATAGTTTTTTCTCCCACATGTGCACATATCAGAGTCTGTATGAAGCAAAGAGCAAGGGTCAAAGTCTCTATAAGGAAACTGATAATTATCAACCTATCTGTCTTTTTTCTGTATCTCCACACTGGATTTTACCTGGTGAGAGATTTAGTAAGAAAAAAAAAAAACAGGAAGAGAAGAGTTCATCATATCGCTGTGATTAAACTCCCAAATTGTCTTCCAGGAAAATGGAAATTTTAAGCACCCTACCCTTTTTTCTTTTCATTTTGACAGAATTCCAGCTTTCCATAAAAGATCAATAATGGCTCATCTTGCAACGCCCAGTTTAGCAATAATTTAATTTCTGTGGAAATCAATGCTCCAGCTTCTCAGCTAAGGTGGAGCGGAGGCCGCAGATGCCTCTGTAACTCTGTACTGATGCGCCGCTGATGAGTCAGCAGCAAACCCCAACAAAGCACAGCCCAGGTCAATTACAGCCAAGTTAGATACCTCAGGACAGATAACCTGCAGCCGGAGCAGGAAAGACTAGCCTGATCCCCAATCAACACTCTGATCTTATACCCTGGAAGCTACATCCTGCCAGCTACCCATTTAGTTTATTCAAAAAGTAAACTCTTAATAGAGATGCTGAGTTTTTTTTATAGAAGCTTAATATTTTTCTCATGCCCATTTACCTTAAAAAACTCTTAAAATGTAATCCTTCTATTGTATTGCCCTCATGAGAGATCAATATAATCCAGAAATTCAGACATTTAATTCAAGTATTTTAGCAAAAAAAGGATTTCCCTCTTGGTCTGGGCTGCTGTCAAAATTTCAGAGTTACAGAGTGACCTGGATCACTGAATAATACATAGACAGAGGCTGCATAATTCATCTACATTTTCCAGTATGGCAAAGTATTTTCAAGCCAGGGCCCCACCTTGGCGCTACATCTCCCAACCAAACGGTCTCCCATCCCATGGTGAAAATATGTGCCTTTACAGACCCTTAAACACCTAATCCAACAGTGCAGCCCAGAGAAGAAATGAACCGGAAGGCATTAGCTGTTAATCATAATGACAGCAATGTTGGACTGCTGCTACCATCCGCAGATATTGAAGCTCTGACACCCTTCATGCTACACTTCAGAAAGCTGATTTTATTAGCCGTTATCAAAATCAGCTTCCACAACCTAATTATGCATATATGCATTTTACAGCATGGGGGTATAATTGTCAATAGCAGGGCTGTTTGTAATCAAATGACAGCTGCAAACCTCACTAAAGTCAACAACAGCGATCACATAATCCACATACTCCATTTATTTTTAGTTTGGAACATTCTATCTGGACATTTTACACCGTTTGTCCTTAACTTTTCTAATATAATTGCCATGGTGCACCACTGCTGTATTAAACAGGATAGCCCTGCGTATGCCTCTGTAAAGCTCTGAACAGGAACACATTACCTACAGAGCTCCGTCTGCCTGGGCAACCCTTACGTCCCATTGCGGCCCCCGGCCCCCCTTGAGTTCTATTTCCAGCTCCTTGCTAACATCGTTGCTATCGGCCCCCGGTGGGTCTATCTGCCACCGTGACGAAGTAGGAAGCAAAAGGAAGAAAGCCTCTTAGGGACGAAGTGAACGAGCATGATAATCCTTTCTGTGTCTGCTCTGCAACTTCACCTGCTGTTAATCCATAACCTGGTAATCCTACAGGTGCGACACGCACCACCCACATGAGCCGCTTCTAACATATTCTGCATCGGGAGATACACAACCTCGCAAAGGTATTCATACACCTTGATTTTAACAGCATTTTGTACTATTATACCACACACTTCAGGGGATTGATTGTCTTATCATTTTATGAGACAGACCAACACAAAGCAACATATAAACGTCTTGTGAAGGATTTATGGTTTTCATTTTTTTAAATAAAAATTTTATTATTACATGCATTTGTATTAATTTCCCCTTAAGAAATATTTTGAAGAGCAGTTATTCTTAGTACTGAAAGCTCATGTAAAGAATGAACTTTTGTTTTGGAAAATGTAGTTTTGTAAAATAGAGAACTTGAACAGAATCTCTCCTAAATAACTCTGACCAGTTTTCCAAACCCTGTTCAGGATAATCATCCTTTTAGCATGTTTTACCATGACATGGTATCTTAAAAGTAAAGTCTAATGCTAGCTTTCCTCTTTGTGTAATGTCAGGCCTGCACAAGACTGGAAAACTAATAGTATTTATTTAAATTTATCAGTTACAATCAATCCTAATTTCTTTCATTCCCTCTTTATCACTTGTGCATTGAATGCTGTCTGTTACCTGAAGCAGGCTCCATTTAACTGCCTGAATATCACATGAGGACTAAATTCCCATTTTACCATTTATGGAGGACAATGAATAAGATATTTTGTCAAAATACTAACAAAAATGCATCCTTAGATTTCCAAGTTAGATTGTTTAAATATAGGTTTCTCTAATTACCTATTCGGGGGAGCATATCATGGGGAATTTGGGTCAGAATCCCCACCAGATTTTCCACCTATGATTATGCTGGCCTTCAGATACAGTTAATGTATTCTAAACCGTCCTTTTGTCACGTTAATTTTAAATAATCCCATAAACATTCCTCTCACCTTTTTAATGAAACTCTGCAGCTCCTCCAGAGTTCTCATAATAGACTTTTGGCTGCTTCTGTGCTTCATGCTCTATTGGCCCTGCCCCTGTGTGACACTGAGATTTAGTTCAACACAAATCCGCTCTGTTAACTGGTTAGATTATTTCTGATGATAATTTATATAATTGGATTTTATTTCTGGCTATATTGTAAGACTCAAGGGGCAGATACAAATGCACACTTTTTGTATGTTTGCCTTTAAAAAAAACATTTAAAAAATTCCTACACAAATATGTTATACCTAAATCAAGCATCCCCAAACTCGGTCCTCAAGGCCCCCTGTCCTGCAGGCTTTAGAGGTTTCTCTGCTTCAGCACAGCTGGTTATAATGATTGCAGTAGACCAAAAGCCTGTTAATCAGCTTTCAATTAAAATCAGCTGTGCTGGAGCAAGGAAACCTCTAAAACCTGCAGGACAGGGGGCCTTGAAGACTGAGTTTGGGGATGCCTGACCTAAATGATTAGGGTATATTTGTAATTTACTTTATAGATCAGGGCATAATCTTTAAAATAAATTAAGATTGTTGTTATAAAATTACAAAAATGTACAGATCCATTTTCAGAGACGGACGGGGAAGTGCACATGTTTGAATCCCAGAGGATATAGGGTAACCCATCATGCATCTACTCCCCTGCGCTTCTCTGCACCCAGCTCACTGCCCTACATGCAGGCAGCGACGTCCTTGTACTTTTTCTCTTCATGCATGGCATGTCCATACATGCATGCATGTGCTGAATTCTACACCATGCATGTACTGATAACGATTTTTTTTTTTTTTAAGTTATCCATTATAACAAATAGGTGCTTTCTACTGGCTACAAGCACATGCAGTGAGAAGGTGAGGTCCTGTACAGCATTCACCACTCCAGACCCTAAGGAGCAACAGCAATGTTGCTTCATTTTCCAGCTGCAGATCTAAACAAAGAATAATAGGTTGTTGCTCTTTAGGGCCTGGGGTTGGGGGAAAACACCTGCCTCTAGCTGCACATGCAACTGGAGTTTCTCATCATCAAGCCTGACTTTAACAAACTCACTTTTGTCGAACCTGTCTGCGAGGCGAGCACGCATGGTAGCGCTGGCGCCCTGGCCTGGGTCCTGCAGTTCAGAAGCCTCCTGCCTAATGGCGGTCAACACTAACTGCTCTGTGGGCACCATAAGAGGTCACAGCAGAAGAAAATAACACACAGGAGAGCAAGTCATTATACACGGACTGGGCTTCACACACAGAAAAATGTTCCACTTTAACCTAACAGTGACCTGAGCTTTGCAAGTGGAAGGTTGTCCTGCAGAGCAGAGATGCTCAGAGAAAAGTCTTCTAGCTTATGCACGAGCGCCCCCATGTGGTTTTCTCTTTGAAATACCTCGTTTCTACATGCAGCCTCTGGTTTTCACCCATATCTCCCAAACGGGTTCCTCAGGATTCAAGGCTGCCATGACAACCAGGCTTTATCTTTTCAAAACAGATGTGCTCTTGACAGTTGGATGATTTGCACAACTTGCGATAAATTACACAAGGTGTCAAGTAGTACGAGACGGGGGCCCTTCCTGTAATAATGAAATCACTTTGGCTGGGTTTTTTTTTTTAACCTTTAGGGGTTTAAAAGAGCAGAAACAATTTCATCAACTGTTTAATGTTAGGCGCCATTTAAATCTGTTTGTAAAAGTGGGAGTGAATGAGACAGACAGGTAGAAGTGGATGTCATCATCTGTAGTAGCTTTCTAATTGGAGCAAAGTACCAACAGATCAGGCTCCAAAGGGTATCATCTAATGACAGCATGAGGATACTTTGCTGCAGTGCTGTGCAAAGGCATTCTTTAACTTTTTTACATGATGCATTATTGACCTTATGTTTTAAGATTTTTTTATTTATTTAACTAGAATTTTATGTGACACATCCAAACAAAGACAAGCACAGAGTTTAGATTTCAAGAGGAGGGAAAATAATATATGCTTTTAGCTCTTGTTAAATATAGAAAGCTGTGTGTGATATATAAAACCAATGAGCCCCTCCTGAACAATGAAACTCTTTATGTTGTGGAAATGTTACAGTGCCAAAATATATTATAAAGTGCAAACAATTGTGTTCAGCTGGTCGGTAGATTTAGGTCAGTCCTGCAGAGAAGAAGCAGGAGATGTGATGCTGGAATGGGGGTTCACATCCAGCAGGATGATGGTTGTAAACATACATCCAGATATTTTTTTTTAAATAAATCTGATTCAAATGTCAGAATAGACAGACCAAAATAATTTTTTTATCCGGTACCAGACTTCCAGATGCAACTCAGAATGAAGTTGAGTTTTTACCTGCTTTAGTTTGCATTATCTTGTGAAGCACTTTGTCACCCCTGTCTGTAAAAATATACAAATAAAGTTCACTTATTAATTAATGAAAATGTAAACTTCAAGTTTTATTTGTAAAGAATAAAAATGGTACATCAATTTTACTGGAAATTAAAATTAGCCACTACTTCAGGTCATCTTATAAACTCCTTATAAAATACACTGAATGAATGTGGTTATCACATGACTGAATGTAACTAATACTAAGGCGCTCTATGGCCGTGGAGTAGGTAATCTCTGGGAATATATACACTAGGGCTAAAACAATTATTAATCATGATTAATCGATTATTGAAATAATTGTCAACTAATTTATTAACTGATTAATCGTTAACTGGAGTATAGAGACTCTGAAATATGCCTTTAGCTGACAGAGCGACCCACTTAGAGCAGTAATTATATCAAAATTGCAAAAAAATATGTAAACATTTTGCGTTTAAGATAATATGCATATGTCAATATGCTCTATCCGGAACTCCTCAATTGGAAAAGTTTTAGTCTCACCTGTTTAATTTCGTAAAAACATCTTTAAGGAACCTTTTGCTATCCGATTATTAATCGATTAATCTAAAAAATATTTAAAAAATTAATCGATTTGAAAGGAATGGTTAGTTGCAGCTCTAGTATGCACAAAATTACTTTAAAAGAAGATTTTGATTACATTTAATATTGAACAAATACTTGAAGACACAATACTTTGATTAAGGTGTAAAAGCATCAGCTCTGTATTAGGGCTTTTATATTTACTTTACTTCCTGCCTTATGAACTAGCTTGTTTTTCAAACATCAGCTTTCCTAATTTTATTAATAAAAACTCAGGTTATAAAGTAGTCTGATTAAGAAGGGCCATGGGACAATTAAAAGTTTATAAAAATGTATTTATTTTAAGAAAAGTTTGGCCTTCATTCCTATTGGACCATATGATGTGCTCACAATCTGCCCTGCTTTTTCATTTCTGGAACAATGCTGCCACACATAGAAAAACACGAATAACATGAGCTATTTAAAACACACAAATGGGACAAAACTTTTTTTTTTTTGTAGATTGAACCCTTTATGTAGCTGTTTGCCACATTACTTCATTTACTGCAGCCTCATAACCGAGTACCCACAAGTTATTTCCAGCTTTTATCAAAAGAAAAGGTATAACAATAAAATTGAAAAAAATAAAAATAAAGATGCATTTCCAGTTTCCAGTAGGACCTTGAACTGTTCACTTAAACCTGATTAAGGCATGAGAGAATTAAGGAGCTGTTTGACCCTCAGATCAGCAGGGCGCCCCCAGAGCAATAGAAATGTCACACATATCTCGCTCAAAAATATTATTTTAACTAAAGTTCTCCGTTTCTAGAAGTACACTTTTTTTTACCCTTTAAAACTAAAAGTTAAACTGCAAGCATCGGTTAGCTTTTTTTGTTTTTCTTTACATTACCCAGTTAACTCCCTGAAAGAACAAGATGGTAGATGAGGGGTCATTCTGTTCAACTAGACGACAAAATAGCTTCTTTAAGGAAATCTATTATGTTATTAAACACGTACAGCTCATCCACACCAGCCAACTCTAACCGTGTTTCAATGCAGATGTCAGCCACCTTGGCTCAAACTGAAGTGACGATAGTATAATAATAATAATTGAACTTTATTGATCTCAAACTGAAGAAATGTACCTCTCCATTTAACCCATCCCCTTGGGGAGCAGTGGGCTGCCATTGTGCAGCGACCCAGAGTGCCGGCTGTGGGGATTGAACCGGGTACTTGGAGCACAAGCGCACTAATCTAACCACTAGGCCATCACTACTTCTAGTATTAAATTGTGAAAATATTCACATAAAATTTCAGACTTTTGTAATAACATTGAATTGATGGGATTCTTAATGTGTATAAACAAAGTGTATAAACATGAAATAAATATCCCAGTCCATCCTGACCCTTTTTTCACCTAAATGCATCAGACTTGGTTTGCTTATGACCTTCTGGCTCTCAATAGCATTATCCTAAATTCTATTACGGCTAATATTCTGATAATAATTTATAGGGAGAAAAAACATAATAATGGGTTTGTTGGTTCATTGCATTTATATTTAAAACAATATGTCCAACTCAGTATCTGCACACATTCATACAAGAAATACACTGATCGTATGATGACTTAAGGTTCAGTAAAGGAAGCAGGAATCAAACCTATAACAGTTAGGCAACAGTTGGAGCGCCAATTAATCATAGTCTGTAAAAGCCCTTAAAAGGCTTCTACTAGCTCTCAGTTGTCTTCTGTAAAATATAATATTGCATCTGATTAAATATAATATTTCTATATTTATAATTTGATTCATTTGCACTTGTATATGTTTAATGCACATGTGCCAATATATTTCAGATAGTTATTCAAGTAGATTTTAAGAACCTAATTTGAAATTTAATGAACAAAAAAACTCTGACCTGACTGACCTTCAACATCGAAATATGGTTAAGATATGATAGAAACAATGTCAGTTGGAATTTCAACAATAAATACATTTTTAAGACAGCAATAATTAATAAAATGTTGCAGAAAGTTTAACAAACTAATTATAAATCTCTGCCGAAATTTCAGCTTAAATAAACATATGTAGCATTTTATATTTTAAATATGACACAATTTCTCATGTTAAACTTTGGTAATGTGTCGTGTGTGTAAATGTGTTGAATAAAACAGGAATAGCTATTATAAAGCATAAAGTGTTAGTTTTACAAGTTTAATGTTGAAACTTTATATTTATCAACCATTGCGTTGATTAAATTGTGAATAAACGTTGAATGCCAGCTGGACCACTGAGCAACAACTCATTAAATTTTATAATTTGATGTCTCTGGGTGGGCTGCACAGTGGCGCAGTGGGTAGCACTGCTGCCTTGTAGCAAGAAGGTTCCAGGCTTGATTCCCGACCCAATGTCTTTCTGCATGGTGTTTGCATGTTCTCCCTGAGCAGGTGTGAGTTCTCTCTGAGTACTCCAGCTTCCTCCCACAGTCCAAAAACATGACGGTAAGGTTAAATGGCTTCCGGTGTGATTGTGCGTGAATGGTCGTTAGTCCTTTTTGTCTCTGTGTTGCCCTTCGATGGACTGGCGATCTGTCCAGGGTGGACCCCGCCTCTCGCCCGTAGACAGCTGGAGATAGGCACCAGCATCAATCCCCAATTGGGATTAAGCATGTCAGAAAATGGATGGATGGATGGATGGATGGATGGATGGATGGATGGATGGATGGATGGATGGATGGATGGATGGATGGATGTCTGAGTAAAGAGAGGTCTAAGGAAATGTGACAGTTGTAGCCCATGCTCAACGCAACTAAAACTTTATTTATAAAGCACATAAAAAAAAAAAAAAACGGGGTTGACCAAAGTGCTGTACAGGAATCACAGTTGCAGAGCATAAGATAAAAAACTGAAAGCTAAAATACATAAAACACAATGCAAAAAGGAAAAATTGAATGGAAATAAAATATTACAAGATAAATGTTTCAATTTAAATAAATATTTAAAAATAAAATTTAAAATAAAATTTTGCCAAATGTCCACTTAGACTTGATTAAAACCCAGGGAGAAGAAGTGTGCTTTTAGAGAGAATTTAAAAACCTCAAAGGAGCCTGTCGATCCAATATGCCAAGGCAAGTTATTCCAGAGTCTCAGTGACACTGCCATAAAGGCACAATCACTTTTGGTTTTAAGACTGGTTTTAGGCATCGCCAGTAGCAACTGATTAGAGGATCTCAGTGTTCTGGCCGGGGCATGGATTTGGAGAAGCTCAGTCAAATACCCCTTGCTCACACTGGCTCCGGTGCGGTTACCGAGCCGACGGAGACCGCAACTCCCGCACACCCCCTCACACCGCCCTTTTGACTACGGTGCGGTGCGGCTCTGCGGCTCCGGCAACAGGTCCGGAGATTTAACTCGCGAGAACAGAAGTTCACTTGAGTTCACGTAACTTCACGCGATAACACGGCCCAAATAACGATATTTGCGAGAGCTTGTTGCAGAGGGCTCCGGCACGCCGCAAGTATAGCTTTCTTGCGGAATTTTCTGCAGCGCCGGAGTGTCTCGGTAACCGCAGCCGGACAGCTCAGCAGCCAATGAGAGAGGTTTACGTCTTTTTAATGACTTGGAATCACTGCGGCGCCGCACCCACCGCACCGGTAAGACCGGAGTCGGTGTGAGCCTGGGGTTAAGAGCTTTAAAAAAAATAACATTTTAAAATCTATTCTACAAACAACTGGGAGCCAGTGCAACGAGGCTAGAACGGGTGATATGTGGTCGCGTTTACGTGTGCCAGTAAGGAGACGGGCAGCTGCATTTTGTACCAACTGCAGACGGTGTAAAAGTGAGCGGTCCAAGCCAGCATATAAAGAGTTGCAGTAATCCAATCTTGTATTAATAAAAACATGGATTACAGTCTCAGGTACCCTTTCACTTTTGATAAAATTCTTAACTGATAAAAGCTGTTTTTTACGACCGAATTAACCTGCCGTTCTAATTTCACTATTGCTATATGCTACTTTCAAATGTATCGTTATTCCTATTCATTGTGTTAGTTCATCCTTCCACTTAACTTTCCGATAATATGGCTGTAAAGGGCGCCATGTTAGCGACTGACCTTCTTAGATATCTTTTTAGCTTACATCTTCTTTACTGTGGAGAATGTCAGTGACTATTTTCTGGACAACCATCTAGTGGTTGTGTAATTGATTTATTTTTTATTTTTTATTTTTTTTACTGATGTCTGTGATCTAATGTCCTTTTTAGTTAAAATAAATGTAGGCGTTCTTTACAGTGTGATTAAAATTAGTGTCTTTTTCTGGATTTAATAACAGATCAATTTCCATTAGATTTTAATTAATTGAGATGCACCTGTAGGTGTAGGTGAGCTCGCTCTTTGCAACGCCACGAGGTTTCTAGGTCTTTTTTTATTGGATTAATGGCACAGGTGCCTGGCCCGCAGAGGCGAAGGCAGAAAATGTTTATAAGGGTGGCCGGGCAATAACAAATGTAAACTGAGGTGTGGCACCAAAAAATCAGGCTCATTCTACGCTGTTCCAACAGGAAAATTAATGAGCAAAACATCCATATTTTCTAAATAAAGAAAAACTATACTTTACAGCCTTTGCTAACAAATAGACGCATATATTTAAATATCCGTCTAGATAAAAGGTATAGTAGATAAAATCTTTTCAGGTTTGAGTTCTGGGGCGAACATCTTTTCCATTGGCATTACTTACCTACTTTTATCAATAATCATCCTGCATAAAATTGACATTTACAGGCACTAATATCTACAAAAATTGATTAATAGTTTTTTGTAAAGTAGTTATTTTTCTATGTTTTCACTGATGACTTTTCTTTACCCCATAAAACACAAAGTTTAGTTCTGAAAAAAACATTAATTCTATACTTGTCATCTTTAATGTTAGTATATTGATGAGCAGAATTAAGCACATTGTTTTTGTTGTGAAGTCATTGTCAATAAATGAAAAATGTAAATGTTTTGAATATTCTCCTTGAAAGTATTACTGCTGCCACCATCTGTATTAGAGGGGGAAAAAATAGTAGGGGTGGGCAATGATTGGCTAAGGTTGGCTAAGGTTGGCCATGGCCACCCCTGGCCCCCCATCTAGCTCTGCCCCTGCTGGACTTCTGGCTTAGACAGTTTGCAGATATTTTACTATGATCCCCTATACAAGTAACGTAAATTAAAAGAAACACGCGGGTTACACACACTGTAAGCAGATGCATCGAATTATGCAACAACTTAATTATGCCATGGATCAGTTATTGCAGAAGATGAAATAAACAGCTTCACTGGAGATATTTGTAACCCAAAGTTTTATAGTATGTGCATAAATAATTACTGATGAATACAAAAAAACAGGGTTATGCAATGAATCTGCCACCTGCAGCCTCAGTTGTCCTTGAATTCACATCCGGACGGAGCCTAAAAAACGAAATAAGCTTGTTTTTTTTTTAGGATACTACATGCGACTCTATATGCATGCCGCAGTACGGAGTTATTATGCCAGGCACATAGCAATGCCAGCCGAGTCCAGACGGGACAGGCCGCTGGATGCCAAGGAGAACCAGGCCTGGTTTAAAGAGATAAGCTCATTATGAGGACAGGTTTCTGCAGTCCTGATTGGACAACCATCAAAAATTAAATATTTTGTTTATTTTTCTCACCTCCCTCGCTGTGGATCTTCTTGCCTTTCCGGTTGAAGTACATCTTGTTACAGGCGGGTGACAGTCGATGTGGCGGGGGCCAGGAGGAGGTCGGAGGGGTAACATGCTCACGGCGAGCCGAAAGAGTCGGGGAGAGACGCTCCCTGACCGGCCTGAGTTCGCCTCACCTGCCGCTGGTCCCCCTGCTGCTGGAGCTGCTCGGCTGTCATGTTGCTCCGCTGCTGAACCGCCGAGGCTTCAGTAAACGGGAGGGAGCTCCAGACGGTGTCACTGACGCGGCAGTTAGATAGTTCCACATCCGGTGGATTCTTTCAAAATAAAACGGAAGTGGTTTCTGTTCGCAGATGGTCTAAATTTTGAAACAAAAAAATATACATTTTGTTTTTCTGGGGTGATCTAGGTTAGACCTGTGGCCTTTCCTCTTTAAAACGGTCAAATGCATGCAAATTGGTTATTTTCTTAGTACATATACAACTTTTAAATCTGACTAGTATGTAAACAGATCTGAGGTTTGGACAATTCCAGAATCAGCATCATTGTGATGCTCTAACAAAGTATTTAAACCAAATTTCGGCCATTTAGATTTTTCATTGCGACCGGTGGATTCTTTCAAAATAAAATGGAAGTGGTTTCTGTTCACAGATGGTCTAAAGAATAAAACATAAAATAATATTTTTGTGGTTTTGGGATGAGTCTGGTCAGATCCGTGGCCGTTCTTCTTCTTTAAAACGGTCAAATGCATGCAAATTGGTTATTTTCTTAGTACATATACAACTTTTAAATCTGACCAGTATGTAAATAGACCTGAGTTTTGGACAATTCCAGAATCAGCATCATTGTGATGCTCTAACAAAGTATTTAAACCAAATTTTTTATCGGATGTTAACTTTTAGAATTTGTAGCCAATTCTACACTTCTTATCTCGTAAAACATACATCTTAATAGCCCCTCATGATGCTACCACTACCATGCTTAGTATTGATCAAATGTTCTTGGATTTAAAATGCTTCATCAGTCTCCTCTAAAGATTCACTTTTTTCATATTAATGTTGATGGTATAAACAAACACTAGTCTAACACCCTAAAATAAAATATATTTGACCCAATCACCCTTTGGAATCTCTCAAGTTCTAATGAGGTAATCTCTATGTAAGAAAAAGAAAACATTAAGGTAAGAAACAGAGCCTTGAGGACAAAAAGGGACAGCACACCTGTCAGGGGTTAAGATTTGGAGATTCTTAAAATGGGGCGAAGTTATAAGCATCCGAAACAATGAACATCTCATAGAGATGTTCAAGTCATTATCTGAAAATAGGAATGATAGAGCAGCAAATTTTCCAATTCATGACCTTCCATTTTTTTCCCCTGGAACTGCTCTGCAGCCTCAGGGGATCACTGAGGAAAGAATGATGCTCGGAAAATTTTGGGTTCAACATGTAATTTCCTTAATAGTATTTTCTCTTTAAATAAAATACTTAAAACACGGTTGGAAGTTGGACTTCCAGCAGGACAATGACCCCCACATGCACCCAGAATTAAAAAGAATGCTTCGGGTCAAATAAATGTCATGTCTTAAAATGGCCTAGTTAAAGTTCTGAACTAATTCCAAAGTAGAATCGTGGCATGGCTTAAAAATTGCTGTGCACATATGCTCTCCATCCAACTGGACTGAGCTATTGTGCAAAGAAAAATAGAAAACAATGAAAGGGTCTAAAAGAGTTAACAACTTCTCCAAAATACTTTACAGATGTTTTTGTAGATAAAGTATCAGTGCCCCCCCCCCAACTCCAAGATACTTTAGTATTTTTTTGTTTTAAAGAAAAAGAAAAATAACTTATGGAAGTTTATAAAAAAAAAGAAACCAAATGTTTACGCAAAAACAAATTTAAGGAATAATAGTACTCCGCATGACACTATAACAGGGCAATATTTTTAAGAAAGAGTAAAGAAAACCACCATTGGACTTTTATATTATATTCATTATAGCCATTTTATTTACTCTCATCACAAAGCAACATATATCAGTTCATATTTCAAAGGATGATTCCCATCATATTAAATAAGAACTGAATAAATATTCACTTCTGAACCATTTGCCCACACAAACCCTCCTAAGTGGCCATTCATAGAGCAGAGGGGTTCTTATAGAACCAGCCTCAGAGGACACTGGGCCTTCATTTTAAACACACAAACACTCACAGTCAAATAAACCAAACACTCTTTCACTCGTTCCTACATACTGTACTGCAACAACCCTGCAGTTTAATTAGGGACACAGAAACTACAGAAACGCAGTTACCTGCCAAGTACTGCAGCTGTTATTATAAAGTGACAGAAACAATTGAATTGGGTGGGTTAGCTCTTAATCCATTTCTTCTACTTAAAAAATGCTATTTTTATCATGTAATGAAAAAAAAATTAAAGCTAAAAAAACACATTAGCTAACAAAGTCAGATATAATATGGAGAATTTAGAGTTTGTTTAAGAACAAATATACTGCAGAATTGTTTTATTACCTCTGGGCCGTCTTTCCTCTAACGGTAGCTTTAGTTCTGCATGTGCAGAAAACTTTAATTTCGGTTCGTCTTAGAGTGGAAATAACAAACACAGACAACAAAGTTAATGTCACACAAGACATTTTCCTTGCTTTATATTGCACAACTCACTCTCACCATTCTGAATCCCTGATTACCAAAAGCCTGAAACCACAATGACAGATGGAAAGGCAATGGTTAGAATTTCTAACTCAAAGTGACGTATTTTGATGGACTGGTGGTTTTTTTCGTATTGCATTGTAACTTTAGGGCTTTAAACTGATAGAAGCGCAGAATACATATTTCAGAAATTAATTTTAAAAAAATTCTCCTCTCCAACATATTTTAAACTTTAAAAAGGGAGTCTAGGCTTTATAATAAGAAAAAAAAACTTCCTTCTTCCATTTTGAGCAGATTGAATGGATAAGTTTCATATTTCTACAAGAACCTGATAAGCAGTGCATTCTTATTTACAGCTCATACAGATTAAACCAAGCCTACAAGTGATTTGTATGGTCAGCTGTAAAGAAAAAAGGAAAAGTCACGCATATCGGACATAAAAGTATTAGAACCAGACATTTGGGAGGCAACTACAGGAGCTTCTAAAGCATAAAAGCCATCTAGAGACAGACTTCTGAAGCCTGACGAAACAAGTAGCAACTAAGGTCACAGGAAGAGCTCGACTTCCTGAAAATATTGCATCTAAAAAAATAAAGTTTTGTTAATTCTCTGGATTTAAAGTTTCCTTCCTGTTTTGCTTGCTTTGGGTTCAAACAACTCAATGGATGATTTCAAAGAAAAACAGTGAAAGCGATATGTACACGCTAAGCCCACTTGGGTTTGCTCAGTTCAGCCAGCGGCGAGCGGGGGTGGGGGGACGTCAGTCATGATGCGCTGCCAGGATGGGCTGCCTGCAGATGGGGCAGGTGTTGTTTTCGGAGAGCCAGCGGTCGATGCAGTGGACGTGGAACTCGTGGGAGCAGGGCAAGCGACGCAGCTTGTTGCCTTGGGCGTATTCGTTGATGCACACGCTGCAGGCGCGTCCGATCTCGCCTTCGAGGCTGGCCTGACCGTAGGTACGCGTGGATAGATTGTCGATCTGCTCTTTGGTCAGGCCTCTGGGATGTTCGTCATCTTCCTCGTCGTTGAGTAGAAAGAAATGTGCCAGCCTCAGGATGGGCAGGGTGCCGTTCTCCACCAGGTTGTTGGTGTCTCTGCTGTTTGACCGTCCGTCTGCAGAGCTGACTACTCCGGCCCCAAGTCTGGCCTGCCCCACCTGCTCGTCCTCACTACTCACCTGCCCCTCCACCCCCTGAACGACCTCGCTTGTCCCCACCTGGTTAGGCCCGCTCTCATTTAAATGTAGGCGACTGCTGCCGCCGTTTGCGGCGCCAACGTATCCGTGGCTGGGTGTGATGCTCTCTGAACTCGCCTCCGTCTCCATAAGAGAACTGAGCTCCCCGAATCCAGTCATTATTTGTCGTAAGATGGAGCGCAGCGCGGTGGAGTTGGGCTCTCCGAGGCCCGTCTCGCTGATGCGCCTTAATGGAATCCGGATGGTGCTGACGTAGGTGCGAATTCCGGCGCGCTCCGAGCGGGAGATGGTGCGCCTAAACCCGCCGCTGTCGCTTTCGAATGTGACTGTGTTCTCTGCCACCCGTGCGCGGGATCGAGTTCTGCTGGCGATGCTGTCCCGGTCCCTGTTCTCACCAGGGCGAATCCGTCTCACCTGCAAGTCCAGCATGATGGTTGGATGTCGTCTGACCGCTGAGCTTCCTGCTCCGGCTGCGGGAGACTCACTCGCACGCTCTACAGTTTCCACGGCTGACTCCAACACAGCATCGGGTTCTGAAACAATTCCCCCAGTCTCCATGGATACAGAGGTGGTGACACCACTCGGATCACCAGGAGGGGCGGTAGAACCAGTTGTACTGCTGACCCGTGGCTGGGTGCTGCTGACACTAGACGTTCTGTTCAAAGGGGATCGACTTCTCCTTGATGCACGAGATGCAGCCCCGCTCCCCGTTGCGGTCCTGCGCACTCGGCCACGGGATCGAGTCCTGCTGCTGCGGGACTCCTGTCCCACTGCCTGGTGTTGAGATTCATCCTGAGGCGGCACCCGAGGACAGTCTATAGAAGCGGCCGTTTGGCTACGCCCCGGCTCCACTTCTACATTCTGGACTTGCTGTTGAAACGGCGCCGTTTGATCGGCAGGAGGACTGGGGACGGCGGGAGAAGGTGCTGAAGAGTGCAAAGTAGATCCTCGCCTCTGAGGGGCAGCTGGAGCCATCTCTGCAGGAGAAAGTGTGGCGGAGCTCACAGACAGGGCGGTGGCGCTGCTCCGTGTGCGCCGGGTCTCGATCCTTCTTATGGCAGGGCGTGGGGAGGGGTACGGAGCCGGCCTTGGTGTAGCTGAAGGCCGAGAGCTGGAGAGGGGGGAAGCATTGTGGACAGAGGTGTTTGGAGGAATCACTGGCAGCTCTGGGGCGTCCACAGAGCTCACCGTCTCTATATGCTCTCCCGGCTCAGGCTGGTCGTGGTTAATGTTGATCTCCAGGCTGAAACGAAATTCCCCACTGTTGGGATTGGTCCGGCTGACCGCCCTCCACGTCTGGTTGCCACTCTGGCCACTCCGAGTAGCATTACCAGTGCGTCTGAATGTATTCAGCCACTCCAGTAATGAATCACCATTAGAAGATTCTGCTCCAGGTTCTGCGCTCCCTATGAAAAAAAAAAAAAAAAAAGTCAACATCTTATTT